AAATAAAATAATTTTTAGTCAAAATAAATACAAAACCTATAAATTGTGAATATATTTTTGATATCGATCGCTTTTTCTTTTTGACTGTCACATTCATTATTGAAAAACAATTTTACAATTATTGTAAAATTGTAAATACAATTGTAAATACAATTTTACAACGAATTGTATTTACAATTACAATTACAATTTACAAAAATTGTAACAGTACTGTGCAACAGGCCCCTGGCAGACAACTTAGAGCGCTTGAGCGCTAAAAGCGCTCAATTGCTTAAATTGTCCAAATTTTTTTAGAAAAATTCAGGCCCAGAGAGCGCCAAAAGCGTTTGATCAGCTTTCTATTATGGAAAAATGGAAAAAATGGAACGCTTGGAGCGCTTTAGTTTCACAACTTATAAACAGGATATGTATAAAAATAAATAGAACAACGCTCGCGAAAAAGTAAATTTTGTTCATGATGACTTTTTTCGAGTGAGAATCTTCTCATTTGACTATTAGAATATTCAGCAGCGCGAGATGTATTCAAAAGGGCGCCAAAATCGAAGAACATGATGTCCAATGTTCAAGTTACTGGATTATATTCAAGTGTCGCTTGTATTTCAAGCGCCTTTTTCCAATATCAAAATATAAACAATAAGATTTCAGTGCATATTCAACCGATTACAAAATATATTCAATTATTTTGAGCACTCTTTTTCATGTAACTCTCAGTAAGCATGTGTGTTCAAGGGTAATATTTTTGAAATGACAAAAAAATTTGCAAATTTTAGATGATTTTGTTGAATTATTTTTTTCAGCATTTTAGATGGATTTGTCACTTTAAATAAACGTTTTGTCCATAGATGTTTTTGGAGTCTTTTAGATGATTTTGTCATTTTTTCGAGAAAATGTGTATTTTGTCATTTTCAATAAACATTTTGTTAATAGACGTTTTTGGAGGGTTTTAGACGTTTTTGTCAATTTTGCCAGAAAACTCGTATTAAGACGATTTTGTTATTTAAAAACCCGATTTTGTTAAGAAAAAAATTGTCACATTTTTAGATGATTTTGTCATTTAAAAAAACATATTTCAGACGAATTTGTTTAAAAAGGGACCATTTCCTTTAGACGAAATCGTCATTTTTTTAGACGATTTTGTTTTATTTTTAGACGTTTTTGTTAGCAGCCCTTTGAGAATAAAATAAAACCAAATGGTTGATAAAAAATATTTCTCGGAAAATATCAATATGATTCATTTTTATTTAGACGAAAATCGAGATAAAAATGAAACATGTTTTTTTACAATACGAACATTTTGTAATCGTTCAAATAAAAAAAAATCAATACCGAGCAGAATTGTCATTTTTCATCAATTCAAGTTTCACACTTACCAAATAACCTCTATTCCCATATTCATTCGATGATCCTAAACTGGATAATGTTTTGAGGAAGAGAAAATCCGAATAGAAGTAAAGAAAAAATAAAACGCGCGACAATAGCAAACTGTTCAGTTTAGTATGAGCCATTTTAATTATTTAATTTGTTCTAATGAATAAGTTTAATTAGAAAAATATCAATTACTTACGACAAAAAATCCAAAAATTTAAATCATCGTCTTATAATATGTTTTCTTTATGAATTATATATTTTCGCTTATATTGCAGTGCTGATCCAGGCACACACAATTCAATAAGCAGCATCACATACTTTTCGAACAGGAAAAAGGTGTTTACTATTTTTGTTACGGACTCTCGAGACGAAGAAAAAAGACAATTAGAATAGAGTTATATGATCAAAATTGCATGATCAGAAATGAGGTTGTGATTGAAATTCTCTGATTTGTATTCTAGGTTTTTTAAAAAAAAGGTAGTCTGTTCATCTTCAATTCATACAGTGAACACGGCTTAAAAATGCAAATAAGACGAAAAAGAATACGTAATCATGTCTGAAATCAGTGTCTTTAGCTCTCTATTCGGTGTTCGTTCTCTGTTCTATTTATTTTTTTTTTCATTTGAAAATACCCTTGTTTTTATATGCAAGAAAAGTCGAAAAAAAAAGTTGTCGCCGAATGAACAATTGACTGTAGATTAGTGACTTGGGACCAGGAAACTCAAAATAAAAAAAAAACTGCCTCAATTAATAATAATAATAAAAATTATACAAATTTTAGGTGCTTTCTTTCACGTGATCCATTTTGAATATTTGCTACCTGTATCTAATTGACTACCTCATTTCCTCCCAGTTCGGACATTTATTTACAACGGTGTTCTTTCTGTTTCTTCCAGCACTGATATACACACAACAAGAGAACAAAATTACATGCGAACACGATCAATTCTTCTGTGTTGAAATTGTTTTGTTTTTTTCGTGAATTTTAAAAAAAATTAAAACGTATTAAGTGGGATTCTGTGTTTCCGTTCATTCATTTATCTATTGCCATGCCTCTATGAATATATTTATTAATATTAGTCCTTCTGTATGGAATGTGTTTTTCCCTTCTTCAAATCAACTTAATACATCTTTCAGAGATAGGAACGACAACAAAAATTGTGTACGTAATTTATTTTTTCCATTTGATTGAGAGTGCGTGTGTGTGTTGGAGAAGGGGGTGGGGGGGTGATCGTGTGTATGAATTTGCAAAAGTCAACCGGTTTCAATTGATATTGTCCACAAAGCATTTCATTTTATGTTTGATTTGTTGGTTTTCTTTTTCTTTCTCATTATTATATAAATAATTTCAATTGTCAACAGTTTCATAATGATTCGTTCTACACTGAGTCATCTGCAATGCGTATAGGAGGGAGAGAGAGAAAAATACAATTAAATTAAATCACAATTTGAATAAGAACAATTGCTGGCACGAGCAAAAGCGGAAAAAGCGACTCTGAATCAAATCGAAAGGGATACATACCGTGATACCACCACTTGGTTTTCTTTGGATTTTTATTACAAGTTCGAACGTATAAGGTATTATCTGGCGGCCTCTTTTTCTCTCGACAACTACTCAACTTTTAAAAATGAAATATTTAAGGGAAATCAATGAAAAAAATTAATAAAAATTCCCGTTGATTATTATTAGAAAATCTAAAAAGTCTAGAATAAAATATACCATGGATGAGATGCTAAGACACACTGACTGCACTGATAAAGCTGGTGTCCTGTGGGTAACAACAAACGAAACACACAATTTGATTGACTTGTTAATTATTAATAATCGCAATTGTTCCACAAATGATACATTCATTTTTCAACAACGAAGCGAAAAATTATCGCTCAATCACAAAGTGTGACAAATTACTGTGATTACTCATTTATTAAACTGACAAAAAATGGTGCCAGACAAACCGCTAATAGCAGAAGTGAAAAAAAAATTGAGTTCAATTTCAAAAATACCCACCAATCTTCCGTTAAAATAGATAGACAGATATGACCATTTGAGTATACGTGCGGATGCACAGGTATGTTTGGTCCAACGAATGTTACCTCTATAAATGAAAAAAGAAATCGAACAAAATAGCGACTTCGTTTGTCAATAATCCAAAATTCCTCATATAAATGAGGTGTAATTACCCGGCGAATCGAATGGATATTTATTATTAAATTTAAATAACAGTTGAAAGTGTTCCCCCTCGTACAGTGTTCCTTCGACGCCATCCATGTTTATTTTCCATCTATTGAGTTCAGAAAAAAAATAGAGTGGGCAAAAACAGTTGTCAGTTATTGCGAAACGATTTAAACCATTTCGATTAAAATTGAAATTGAGACTTACTGAGTTAGGTTTTGGCTAATACTGTCGGCGTCAATCATCACGTTCGGTGGAGGTTCCTTTATCAACGACATCAATTCCTTTTGTAATCGCCGCTGTAATTTAAAGAGAACAAAAAAAACCAAACGGTTTCAATTAAAAAACAAAACCAATCAGGAATTTATAATTGATTTGATGACGGTAGCAAATTGCTACGAAAAACGGGGACGAATGAGAATTTAATGCGCCAAGCGTCGTCGTCAATTTGCAAATCAGAACACTTGCCTCCCATCGTGTGTTGTCAAGAATTAATTTTTTACAATCTTTCGTTGTCGTCGGTATGTCTTGCGATGACGTTAGAATTTCCGTTTTTGTCGTTGATTTTGTGGATTTTTTTAATCGAAACATTTTTTTCTTTCTGCTTCCAATAATTGTTGGCCACTTGTTCTTTCTTCGCTATTTGGTTGTTTTTGCTCTCCAATTAATTTATACTCAACGTTGATTGTCCTGTTCAAACAGGCTCAATTATTTATAACACGTTCTAGTTATATTCCGGTTCAATTTTATATCGATTATTCTTTCGATGGTGGTCGTTGCTTTTTCCTGATTCGGTGTGATCTTTTTGTTTTGACCTGTTTGAATCAGATTTTTTTCTCCATGAATAAACACATCGTTACTCTCAAATGGCATTTGAAACAGTTTTCTCTTCAACTCAAAATGTATTGGATTTTTCTCGAACCTATAATGTGTGCGTGAAAAATGTGCGTCAATACAATTTCCAAGTCGAGAGAAACCGAAATAAAAACAACACAATGTTGTTTGTCCATAAAATATTCGATTGACGTCGGAGGAAATCAAAAAAAAAAAACTCAGAAAATTATTTGGATTTCGAGATTGGAATCAGCTCAATATCGCTCATTTAAGGAGAATCACCAGCAATTCGATGATATTACAAATCGCTTCACAAAAACCGACCCAAATTAAAGTATCGTGTTTCCATGTTATTAATTGAATGCCAATTGGGAATAGGCCGCCAGTTAAATGGTATGGTAGCGTGCTGTTGCGTCAATGGTTTCCATCGATCGATAGAATATGATATCAAGCGAATATCTGAAACGTTCGTTCGTGTTTTGACACACACACACACACACACACACACACACACGCACATATCGATTAGGAATGCCAATTAATGATGAGAGATATTATTTGATGATCGGAAATGAAATAGCCGTTATTAATGTGTGCGTCACATATGGACGAGGGGCTCGATGACGGTAAATACCGAAACAGAACAAAAATGCGTACGGGTGATTCACCTGTAATGGCTCAATCAATTTAGTTACAAACAAATTCGTTGAATTTAGATTGAATGCTAATTAAAAATTAAAAAAAAATTAAGTTTAACGCTAGCGCTGGAGCGGTTCGATGAACTTTAGCCTATCGTGCTGATTTAGCTCACGTTTTATGCGAATTGAATCGAAATTAAACAAATTCGGCTTCTAAATTGATTTGGCAACGAAAATGCAATGTTGTAACTGGTTTGAGAGAGTGTGGAGACACAGAGAGAGCGACAGAGATCAGGCACCGAAACTACTTCCCCCCCCAACCAATTTCACGTGTAATTTAGTTAGTGGCACAATGTGCATTGAGCCATCGTTAAGCCACTACGAACGCTCCAGAGATTGCCGAAAATTGTCAACAGACCAGTGCTGTTCATTGGCAGAACAAAAAAAAACGAAATCATTCAACATCAATTGTATTAAGCAATTTAATGGGCTTTCTCTCCAGTGTCCCAAATATTTGCCAAATCAAATCAGTGACTTTCTCAATTGTACGCACATATGACTCCCTATAGCCGTTGCCGTTGCTGCTGAACTAACACATGTACTGCGTTTGGTACAAACTGTATGTTTGGATACATCACGGCACAATTTTGTTTCTGTTTTCCTTTTTGCACATGCCAATGAAAGCAAATAGGGGCATTTGCATGGCATATTTTAATCAAAGATGACTTGATGCCTGCCACACCAGTCAGTCGGTGAGATTTGCTTGAGCCAGTTCTTGGAATGTGTGTGATGTACACTTAATTCTGTTGTCACTCCAATTGGCGGTTTGTCACTTTCATTTGTTCTGATATATTAAATATGTGACGATGACGCTCTTGTATTCACACATTACTTCCCGATTATTTCATTGTGAACGAACTGGGAAGTGTGTCATCAGAGATTGTGCGCATTCATTCCGAGTTTGTGTGTTTGAATCGAGGAAGAGATCGTGCATTCGAATTGAAATTAAGTTTGAAATCATTTTATCAAACGAACCGAATAATCAACGCTTTTTTGCTACTTTCGCATTTTTTCTGTCTTCGATTCAAATGAGTTCACTATGTTTTTGTTTTGATTCAAGCGATGAGCGGCGTAATCAAGTTGATCTTAAAGTAAATTTGCATGTTTGGATTAATATAAACAGATGATCGAAAGGGGATTGATATAGCAATTATGTTCAGTCTGTATGGTTTTTTGCGGAAAGTCGTAAAATTGAAGCGAAATCACATTGAACATCGAGAGATCATCATCGATAGTGAGATCAATGTGACGAGTTTTCACTTTTCAATTTGAAATTTGGAAACTCGTTTTCTTCTGGCGTCTTCGCAATTTCGGAATGACGGAATTTCGAAAGATGTCGCAACATCGCACTGTAATGCTACCCACGATGACAGCATCACAACTTGAGCCGTTTAAGCGATTCACTTTGTAATATCGACACGATTTTAGTGGATTGTTTCTTTTGTGTTTGACTTTTGTTTCTGATGATTTTGTTCGTTGTTGTTTCTGATACATGATGGGCTGAACTATTTCTTAGTTTCAGCATGAAAATACTGCACTGATGATTATGTAATCATATTTTTTTTCTCAAAAAAAATGTGAACATCTATCGAAGATTCGATTCATCCAAGTAGTGCTTGTACAACAAGATTAAAGAATGGATGGCATGGTTGGCATGCGTCCAATTTTTCGGCATTAGCATCGTGTTTAATTTCGCAAAATAATTCCATTTCAAAGGCAGAGTGCCTCTTGCTAATGGGCCATAGCATAATAATCACATTTGCTGAATGACCCCCTTGGACTGAATTGTATGTTTGATTCGTCTTCTGTTGTGATTGTTTGTAAACTCACTCGCGCTCTCGCGCTCATCCACCGTTGTCGATATTTATAAACTGTTTTCATTGAAATGAAAAATGTGATTTCTTTTTCCTGATTCAACATTGTACAGTGCACTAAATATGCCTTTGGAACACAAATTTGTCACTAACGGTGAACAGCGTGTGGACACATACATGTGTGTGTGTGAGCGGCCGCACGCGCGATTATCGACGGCTGGTAAACTATATTACAAGCAGCTACAAAATAACGACTCCAATTAAACGAGTTAATGGACGTGAAATAGGAACTAATTGGCTGAATGGCTGCATGTACGAATTGTGATTTCGTTTATTGATGCTCACTGATTGGATTTGAATCAGTCGGTTGTTGTTTCTTTTTCGCCCTTCTATTCGGCCAATTTCAGTTTCTATTTTGACCGCAGAGATTGATTGAACGGAGAGAGAGAGAGAGAGAGAGAGAGAGAGAGAGAGAGATTAGAACGATTTGTATGGGTGTCGATTTTCCGAAATGTGATCTTATTCAAATGCAATTTGATTTGGTGCTCTCACTCCGTGCCATTTTACTCATGATGTCATTTATTTTATAGCCCAAATCGTAAAAATGTCAGAGAAAAATCCACTAGGAGCCATTCGATCTGTGTTTATGTTTGAGATTCAGATCAGATATTTCGGTCGCAATGAACGACCGACCTCATGTACTCGTGGTCGTTGTCGTCGCAATCGAAAAATTTGAAATTAGATTAGTTCCATTTAATTTCCATGTAACAATCGTTTTTATTGTAATTTTTATGTCTTTGAATTTCGGTCTAAGCTCAAACTTGGTCGCTTATGGTCGTAAGTCGATCAATTCAAAACACCGCGAACCGCGAATGTTTGTGACAAACGGCAAACGTTAAGTAAAATTTAAACGAAAAATTGGTTCAGCACCAATTAACCAGGCAGGCAAAACAAAACTGGCGTCTGTAATTGTAAAACAAGAAACAAAAGAAGAAAAAGAGAAAAAAACGGGGACGCAATTAAATAGAGGGAGAGATGAGCGCATCTGTTCCACAATGAAAACGGACGCACAACAAGTAGACAAACCAGTCAAGAGGCAGAACGAAAAAAAAAGAATGCCATGTCTCCTTAATTATCGAACTGAACAATTGCAATTATTCCAATTTGATCTTCGTTGGCAGTGTCGTCGTCGTCGTTATTGTCATCCGATTCGATTTTCTACAAAAGATTGATTCTCGAGTCGCCTGACGGCAAAAACAAATCTTTATTAGAAGCGAAGCGATTGCTTTTTGTTTGTTTGACAGTGACTGAGGAGATGTTTACTCTGTTTTGATTTGGTGATTTATTTGCTGTGGGCAACATCGATCTTAATGTGGTATCGAAGGGCCAAATTATTTTAATGATCCAACGCCAAAATCAATCAATGCCGAATCAAGTAGCAACTTATTATACATCTCTCTGTTTCTCAGAATTTGTTATTTTTCTCCATTACCATTTCGTCCATTTTATTGACGCGCGCGCGCGCGTACTCTTGCACATTCTCAGTCGGTTTGAGTTTGAAACTCATCAAACGATAGCACAAAACCGTCGAGAAAATGATAAACAACACCGAAAAAAGCTGGTAAAAGCGGGAACCTGAATTCAATCGAAAGCAGTTTTGAATCGTCTAATTTTCGATGAAAACTATGCAGATATATACACCAAACACATTATATTTGTTTTTTTTGGTGTTTGTTTTATTTTCCTCTGTCTTTCTTTCTCACTCTCACACTTTCATTCTTCAACTCTCTTGGAACCATTTAAACAACATAAAGAATTGATGAATGATATGATGAATAAGCATAAAGGAATCGATTTATGTGATTTAACCCGGCCAGAAAGACTGAGGAGAGAAAACAAGGCAAGCAACAAAAATAGAGCTAATTCCATGTCGAAAATCACACTATAGTTTCTATGTGATAAATTTGAATGCGATCGATATCGATTCTTGACCACAATCGAAACGAAAAAACCAATCCACTTCATTCACAATAGTTTGGAATAGCGGAAAATCGCACCAATTTTATTAGCTATCAATCGAATCGAATATTTTCGGACACATAGAATGGCCACATTCTTAAGTGAAAACATTTTATTTTTCATTATTTCGCGCGCTTTTCAAACCTTCTTATTTTACTATACAAACTTCTTGCCGAACACTAGCAATGAGAAAACAGCAATCTATCGAAGTATCGCGAATTTTCAAAAACCCAAAAAAAAATCGGCAACAAACGAAAAACAAAAATACTGAACGGCGCTCAAAAAGTGCTACCTTAACCGACTGTGTCCATATCAATACTGAATTAAAGAGGGCGACGCACTGAATGGAAGTGTGTGGAGAATATCAAGTACACGACGCAACCGCTAATATTGTTGTTTTTTTTTTCTTTATTTCTTTGATGCTGCTATACGTTAAAAGAGCGGCGTTCATAGCGTGCTACATGATCGATGTACGTATAATATCGTGTGTGAGTCTTGGCGGTTGTATAGAAAGAAAGAAAGAAAGAAATGAAAAAGAAAAGAAGAAAAAAAATAAACGTTGGGAGCTAGTGTATAAATCGAAGTTTGCTATCAGTGAAGCGAGCGCGAGCGTAACGACGACGACACACAGAGAGGAAAACAATGGGCTTACGAATGTGAAATGCCTTTAAATGTTTTTTTTTCTCGCTAATTTGTTTGTGCGTTGTTTTTTTATATTTATACTTTTACTTTTCGTATGGTTGCTAAAGCACTAATCGATGCTGCTAAGACTGAATATGCGTGTGCATCATCATCTTCTTTTCATTCGGTGAATTTCTTATGCATGGATTAAGAATCTTGATGCGCTTTTATCTTCGTTGAATTATGATGAGGTTTCTTTGGTTGTTGTTATTGCATGAAACGGCAACACAAATAATGAATTTAACGAGGGCTTGAACACAATGTGCGTACCAACAACGTCACCGACACATTGTTTGCCAAATGATTGAAAATAAAGTTGTACGGGGGAAATTATAATTGGAATTTAATTGTGTTGTTTTAAAATTCTTTTCTAAAATGGGGAAAGAAGAAGAAGAAGTGAAACGAAAACAGCACCATTTGCAACCCCGAAAAATGTGTCGGGTTTTGTATTATTTTATGTGTAGTGTAAATAAATCACACACATTTCCACCGGCAACAGAGGAAGTGAGCAGCAACATTGTGTTTACACAAATGTATTATATACAAACAGCCGGGTTATTGTACTAATCGCGAGGTGATTTGAATAATTATTGCATCAAATGATTACCGAGCGATACCCACATGTATAAAAGGAAAGACGGAAAGAAAAAGAAAGAAACAAAAAAAAGCGACTGATCAACGGAGCGAAAATAGAAAATGTATACTCAGTTAATGAACTCGCAATGCTTTGTCCATCTAATTCAATCACGTCAACACATGGCCTAATGCACAGAAAGAAGAAACGAGCAAAACAAAAGCAAAAATCCGCTGCAATGCCGCCCAGACGAATCGCTTCGCACGCACACACACACACTGATAGCAGTTTTAGTTTCAATTAAGAACTGTTCTGAGTTTTATCGCTTGCATGCATTTCATTTTCAGTGACAAACGTCAAAATGTTTCAATAAAGTTGTAATCGGCCGAACGATTTTACAATACTAGTTCAAGTCAGCCCTTTTTGTATTCGTTTATCCTTTCGATGGCTTGTGTATCTGTGTGTGTGTTCGCAAATGTATGGATTTCGAACACTGCACAGCCCACTATGGAATTTTGCAGAAAAATATAACATGAACAAAGACATCAGCTGGCACGAATTTTCTATATAAAAAAACCCAGCGAATATCGTTCGTTTGACTAAGCAAGGCATATATATATATGTGTGTGTCTCACAGTATGACAGCTGAACTTTTTCGTTCGATTCCACGCGCATTAATTAGTGGCTATTGCTATTTTTGTAATGCACAAGTTTTCATGGTGAATAACGCAGCAAAACTGAAGCCTCTCATCTCGGCCAATTTTTTCCAATCGAAATCGACGACGACGACGACAGCTACAATAACAACAGCAGTAGTAGCGAAAAAAAAATATTGCCGTATTTTATGTAATCAATTTTGGTTTTTTATTTATTTCCTTATTGGAGTCGCGCGCACGCTACACATATGTGTCCAGTCTCCATGAATTGACTGACCGTTTGCCGTCACATTCACTCTTCCGTGAAACAAATGAAAGTGAATAAATTAATCAAGTTTGCATTTGACTATCCAAAACCAGCCACATATTTCGTTCGACAAAGCGATATGGAAATTCGCTCTCGATCCACCGCAACACATCATGTGTATGTTTAGTAGAAAGAAACAAAAAGACCGAGAGAGAGAGAGAGAGAGAGAGAGAGAGAGAGAGAGACGCGATCTTGATTCAAATAAAGATATGGCAAACAAAGAATCGTCAAACCTATTTCATTTGCGATGCGATCTTCTCTCAGTCCATATATACAAAACAACACCTTAACGGGAAAAACACACATCATTTTGACTGCGCATATAGTTTTTTTCTTGTTCGTTCTTCGTTCGTTTCTGTGTGGCTGCGTTGTTTGCCAAATTAATATGCATGGTGTGCCCAACTGTCCAGCGACACTTTCCACATAAAATGCGAAATAGAACGTTACATTATTCATCTCTCGATTAACTCTTGTAAGTAGAGTTTCGACTTGGCATTCTTAATTAGGCCGCCTAGTACAACAATAACATTGTGCCTTACAAAATGACGCGGCCAATTTATGAAATGATCATGATGATCGCAGCCAAATGGCATATTGTTATACGATTCTCAACATAGCACGTAATATTCTCAGTTGAAAGATGATCTTGGTCGTAATGAATCGTCGCAGAGTACCGATTTAGGTTTAAAATTTAAAATGAGGTTAATGACCAATCGTGCGATTCAAATCGGCCTAATCAACGGGCAACTTTAAATTAAAACCAACTTGGTTCGAATTATTCTGTGGAAGTTTTCCCATACCAATACTTCCATACATTACTGTACCGAGAACTATCGAAAAGGTGGTGCGGTCATGGTGGTGGTGTGGTCATGGTGGTGGTTGTAGGGAAAGTAGGCCGTTGACAAACTAACTCACTAAATATTGGTTTTTGAATACATGACGAATGGACGCGGAATACAATTGATGAAAATTTCAAAAAATCGATAATAATGAAATGTTCACAACGTGCTAATTGACACATAAAACCTAGACACGGCAAGTAAGAGTACATTGCTTTGCAGATATAATGGATTCCATTGTTTTTATGCAATATTGCGAAATGGCGTATGATTTCGGATGAGTAATATCATTGACATTGGACACATGCAAAAAAAGAAATGTGCGACTTAAGATGGCTAAGGAATTTCAAAGAGAATGACGGACGAAAAAAACCAGTACGGCAAAGAGGCAAATTTTGTTTTGATCACAAACACACATCTGCTTCGTATTCCTCGAATTTTGCTAAATGCGAGGCAATTTGTGATGTGAAATTAAGTGACGCCAGCGATGTGTCGAAACACAAAACCTTCACTTTCGCACAGAAATTTCTTTGTGTTTCTCCGACGAAAGTGAATCATCAGCATACGATACACGATTTTTTTTGACTCATCGAGAGTCAGTCAGAAAATTTCCAATTGAAGTACAACAAAAGTAGTCATTGAAGCACCACTACAAATATGGTGGAAATTGAAAAGTAGCCAAGTTCTATTGCACATGAAGCAAACAAAAAAAGGGAAATTTGCAAGAAAAAGGAATTGTTTGATTCCAAGCATCTCCTCTTATCGATAAACAATGTCGAAAGACGAGTCTCAAGTCTGTACAGAATAAAAATGATCTTTTTCCAGCAACAATAAGCGAGACTCAGACGTCTGAATGAATTCAGCTACGTGCCCATCAAAATGCAGTAAACAATAATTGGAGTTCAAGTGAGCAAAAGTCAACATGCTTTTTTTTGTCTTCATTGTTACGCTAAAAAAACACGATTTTAATATTTGTGTTATACTCATGTATACTCCGCTTATTTATCATTGCGTCGAGGGTGTTTTTTTTACTTGCACAATAATTTGTCTCATGCATCGTCCTGCAAATATGTTTGCTTATACAGACGCCATTCAGCCAGACATTGACTGAGTGTTAGATTGGTGGAAATGAAGAAAAAAAACCGTTATCACCAGCCCATTCATTCGAAAGAAAATGCAAACAAATGAATGGATAGAAGAAGTATAAGAAGAAACAATAGAAAGAAGTTGTTGGCCAACTTGAATGACTGCATAACTGGTCGGTCGGTCGGGCGTACTGACGGCAATATGTATACGCGATGATGGCCTTGAATCCATGACCTTGTGCAATGTGTATTAGCGGCGAATGCATGTACAAATAGGAGATGCAATGCACTCAAAGAAACGCACGAGAATTAAGTGATATTGGATCAGAGAGAGAGAGAGAGAGAGAGAGAGAGATTTGAGCGCCTCTTATAAATACTTCAGATACGTGCATTTTGTGCAAATATGTGCACATTAATCGACTCTATTTATTAAATGCTAGGCATTGTCTTTTGTTTTCCTCATACAATTGAATCACTTCAATCTCACATCATCCCGGGACTTCTACGGCGTAATTGAATTGATGCGCCACTCGTATGAAACGCAACCGACTCGTTTTATTTCTCTCACTCCGTTTCAACTCGATTGTATGTGAGTGGCTTTAGACAGCCGCAAGAAAAAAAATGGCAAACGAATCGAAACTATTGCGACTTGATGTGATTTATGTGCGTATGTTCCCTTTTTTGTGGGGCCCATTTTGTTCTGGTTGTCACTGAATGAAAATGAAGTGTGTCAATCAATTACGGAAATCGATGGATATGTAGAATGCAAATCGAAATATTGATATGAAACATTTGTGTTTCGCCGCGCAAATCGGTACGATGATGCTTGTGGAGCCCCCTATTGAATATATTCATTTACTAAATGCACAGTAACTCGACGAAAAAAACAAAAAAAAATCATTCATATTTTTTGAAAATTATTTGTGTATGTTTGATTGGTTTCATTTGTTTTGTCTCTCACGCTTTTGCCGAACGAGGCACATGTATTGGATATTGTGGTGAAATTTCAAAACAACACATGTGAAAAATGGTATATTTTTGTATATTGTTTTTGATGTTGAACACCGTGAAGTCCAGAACATTTAAATAAAATAAGACGAACACCTTATTGACCCCACAAAAAGTTTTTCGATCAAAATAGTCATAATTTCATTTGTCAGGTATATTTTTGGTTAATCGAATTGAATCGTTTCGACGGCGTATTTTTACTTTTGTGTTTTTTTCTTTTTAAATAAATAAATGGCACGTTTCATGTATCACTTATAGGGCTTGATTGGTCGTTCGACAACTTTGTATATATAGAAAAATTATAGCATTTAGTGCTTTTTTCTAATAAAAGCACATAGGGCACCATAGCGTTTGTCTTTGGATAGGAAGTAGTTTGATGGGACGATGATTTTGTTGCTGGGCGGTCATCACACACTGTCATCAACAACATCATCATCATCCATTACTTATTAATTCATTGAAGTTGACAATTTGTTAAAAAACTTTCCCGAAGCTGACAAAACGAAAAGATTCAAATCAATGGGCGGAGAGTGAATCATGGCATATAAAGATGCCAAAACGCTCATGAATGAAAATGAATATCCTTTTTTCTACTCTGGTGACTGTAAGTGTGTTTGTTTGTGTGTCTTTCGATTTCTAAACGACAATTGCTTTATCACACTATTTATTGAATCGCTTCAATTGAACGATGATTGAATTTCAACAATTAGACAAATATAGTCGGTGAAAAATACCGTCCTTATAACATTCGAAACGCTTAGCCGAGCAGTTGAGCGGCTTGTTGCATACGTCAAAGGAATGACGTACACCGAATCGTTGTATAGCATGAATTGATTTATGGATATTATTATTTTTGATATATGAGGGACGACGAAACGTGTGAGCATGTGTATCAAAATCGATAAGTAATTGGCTGCATCGTTCCGTAGTCGATCATCGAAGAGGTACAAGATACGTGTTTCAATACGCTGCTGCACAAAATATGCAATTATTGTATACGTGTTTTTATTTGACCTAACATATTGACGTTAACACACACTAGAACTGAATCTGGTTCGGAGCATCAGGGGAATCACAATTATTTATTGCTTTCGATTTAGGATTTGACAAAAAACAACAACAAAATATGATGCACTCATACATCTCTGCCTCAACATCTGGCCGAATTTGAATGCTTCTTTGTTATCTACTTATCACGATGATTAACACTAAAACAACACTTTTTAGCTCAGTTTCCTTTTGTTTCACCAACAATATTTACACTCGTCATTTTTGGTTCAAATTTCACTTGTCTTGCAATGAAATGTCAAAAAATCAGTATAGAACTGCACTTATTTGTTCCACATTTCGGATGGCAAATTAAATGGTCAAAGAGTCGATAAATTGATAGAAAATCGCCAAGCTTTTCAGTACGCAAGGCAAAATGATATGGGAGAGTGACAGAGAGATAGGAAAAATGGGAAGAGAGAGAAAGGGAAAAAAACGATTAAACGAATAATTGATAAAGTGATTCATTCACCAATCGATTCAACCAACAATCTCATATAACAACATATTCTTCTCGTCAACAAACCAATCAAATTCAATTGCATTTTTACTACTTGCATCGCAAGATTACAATAACCAAATGCACATTGATTGGACAAACTCAATATACAAATAATAAAACACAAACAACACACAAAACGTTGATGTTTTATATGATGAAAACCGAAACACCAGGAACTGATTTGCATTTCAACACATTTGGGCCGCTTGACAATTTCATGTTCGGAATAATTCCGGCGATGGGAATGGTAGAGAATTTTCGGTCGCTGGCACATTGTCCGAAAACAAAATGTTTTTGGGAAATAAATGAAAATCGGTGTTACATTTCTGTAATCAGATCTACGAGTTTTGTGGGATTAATTTTTTTTTAAATTTTTTTTACTTACTTCAGATGGTGAAAGAGATGACATCGTCGACGCCATTTTGAAAAACAACTGACGTTTCGAATAGTTTTGTTTTGTTTCGCTACTGCTACGAACGCACTGTGTGTTCAATCGGAATTTCATGCTAAACAAACTAGTTGACGTGTGCTAGTATCTACTTTGGTATTAGGACGCATCGAAATGTTTGCTCTTTTTTTCCCCAATTTTTGGTTCAATTAAATGACAATCAAGTTGATTTGGATTTGGAGTTTTTTTTTATTGAATGTATACATTTAATTTTATAAAAATATTTATTTCTCTATCAATCATACATGAAAATAATTTTCTCTCAAGTTTTTTATGTAGTTTGAGACTGCGCTGAAGAAGAAAACGATTCTCCGTTTCAATGTAGTCGAAAATGATACTATTATGGCTCGAACCTACTTTCGTTCATTCTCCGCTGTCATATGGTTGGTGTACAATACAATTGCTGTGTACATGTGTATGTATGTCAGTTGTGTTCGTTGTATTTTCTCACAGCTCACAATATCTGTATTGTACTCTCTTACACTACGATGCGAAATGTTGTCAACTCATTTTTGTTTGATTTGATTTTTTCTTTTCTTTTCGTTTGTTGTTGAGAAGGAGTCCGAATCCTAAAATTTTAATTGCATTTATCATTACGTTAAAATCATTTTTAATGCGCACTTTTTTTCCCTGTTTGATGCCATTGAATACATTTAAAGTTTGCTGTGATGCATATCATGTTGTAGCTGAACGGCATATGCTGCAGTTCCCGGAGCGGTGGTCACTCCATAGCCGCCATGGCCATAGTTGTGGATCACACGTAGCTGTTGTCCATTTGAATCGGTGAGCAATTCACTTTCGACACGCACTGAACTTCGATACGGCCGCAGTCCAACCGCTTCACGGACAACCGTTGCTTTGGCCAGACTGGGCAAAAGCGACTCGCATCGCTCGCGTATCGAAAGCGAATCATATTTATCGATTTGCATATTGTAGCTTTCGTATTGACGCGTGCCACCAAGTGTTACGATCCCACCAAAACCAGGCAATATGTATGTATCGTAATCTGCATAGAAGGCGGTTTTGATCCACGGCGCACGAACTTTGATGATTTGACCACGGATTGGCACCACTTTAACATCATCGCACAGCTTTTGACCACCCAGACCCGAGCAATTAAACACCGCATCAAATTCTCGGCCATTCAATTCAGTCAATTTGGACAACTTCTTTTGCATTGTTTTTCCACCATTTTGTTCAAATCTACAAAGTTTTTTTGAAATCTATTTTTTATTCAATTTTATATAACATGCTGATCAAGTCACATACTTTCGTTGAGCCCATGATTGCCACAGACGACATTCAGTTAAAACTGTGGTGAAAAATGATCCATATTTCCAATCGCCAGGGCAAATGTTTAACTCCTCTTCAGTGCATCGACGATATAATGGCAATAATCCTTCGAGAAAATGATTCTGCAAAGTTCCAAAAGCAAACAATTGAAATTTTAAACATGCATCTCTGAACAAACAATTTTTGATTTGAAATGAAATGGAATTGTCCATGACATTGACTCTAACCCGCACAATCGATGGATCGGTGCTGGAGAAAACATAGACTGATAATTGGGTGACACCAGCTAATGAAGCATCTTCACTCAAACGAAGATCGTCCCAATAGGCATATGAATCGCTCATCCATTTCCTATTCCATCGAATGGAAAAACAAAACAAAACAGATGAATGCAAAAATAACGAAGAGAGTTTGAATATTTACAATTACATTGTATTGGTGAGCCTATTTATACCTACATGTTGTAGCGTTTTAAAAGTGGATTTCTTGCATGGTTAAATAATTATTGATTTTTTTTTATTCAATGAGCGCACACACATTGGAAATACCAAAACACTTCATGTGTGCTGTAGATGTGATAGCTGATGATAATATATTCAAATTAAACTGCCTAGGCAGTCTCGGTTGAGATTATGTGACACGCGCCTGTTTTGCCTACCTGACATCTATATTTAGCACGGTATTTGCAACATTATAAGCGCTCAGTCGAATGAACCGATATGTCTAGTAAAATGTTAGGTACGTGAATTAAATTCGAACCTTGTGACTGTCTGATTTGGCCCAGTGAAGCTTGGGCCCGGTCGAAATATGCCTGCAGCCACATCGCTTGTTGTATCTCTGCCAAATTTATCTGCAATTAAGCTGATTCGTGCGTTTGGATATTTATTCTGTAATTCCAATGCGGTTGATAGTCCAACAACACCAGCTCCCAAAACCGCAAAACTCATCTTTGTTTTTTAAATACGTTTCTCTTACTACTATGAACACTATTGACTACAACTCAATTGTGTGTGCTTCGTGCAAGTGATGAAGTTTCTCTGGTGTCATAATAAACCGTACTGATAAGTTCGAGTGTTCAATTTGTTTTTGGAATTTGATTCAAGTGTTCTAGTAAAGTGAGCTGCTAGCACACAAATGCATGTATTCAATTTTGACATTTCGTTGATTGTAGATTTTGCTCGTTGAATTACGGTGAGATAAGTGGATGAGCCGAATCTAAACAGCGAGCAATAAATGCACATTGCACACACGTTACATTGTACAACCAAATATATGATTATGTCGCGCAATTTTTGGGCCACTTTGTTCCGTAGCGATTCAAGTTTAGCTTTATGCACGCATTTGCACTAAATAAACAAGCATTGCCCATTAAAATCATCAACATATATCCCGCATTCGAATCATTGTAAAAAATGTCAGCAGCAGATGACAACTCTATCGACTTTTGAGAGCAAACTGCTCGACGTACTGGCGTGAGATTCCATTTAAATGCTCTGATCATTTGAGATGGAATCAGTCGCAGCAATTCAACCAATTATTGTAATAATTTAATAAGAAAGAAGAAAAAAAAGTTTCCGATCGCAATATTACAAGCGTCCAATCAATTCGCATCACAGATGGTTTCACAGCTAGGAAATATTCGCTAATCGATATTCATGTCGCAAGCGCCAACAAGTCAAGTTTGCACTTTTGGCCGAAGCATATTGAGCGTATGTTATATGGCTATTAGAGAGTGCCGTGTGCCAGCCGAAAATAATTTCACACATGAATGCATGCATGTTATTCTGATTAAAATGAATTCCGAACAGTTTTATGTGGGAACATTTTTTCTTTCTTTTTGAAATATTTTCTGTTTTTAACTTCTAAACTGTGAGTAAAAACTGAATTTCCAAACTGACTTTAGCTGGCCGTTTCCGGATCGACCGTTTTCATCAATAAAATCAATTTAAAATAGAAAAAAATTTCACGAAACCAAAAATGTCGATTAATATATTCGGATTACATCGATTGAATGCGTCAGTTGAAAAGCGTCCTGTTCGCTTGTTTTGGCCACCATGTTTTCAAATTCATTATGGTTCAGTTGATTGATAAGCACGAATAAAAGCGATTGGCCTGACAATCGATGACGACGATTTGGCTTGACATGCGACCGTTCTACAATTTCTCTCTCGTCCAACTCAATCGGAAAATATGGTGATGGAACGATTCAGGCGCCCCAAAAAATATATCGTAAAATGGTATATCATACATTGAGGTGACTCCAATGTGAGCAATAGTTGAGCGGCTCTACGCAAACAACTTACCTCAATTCAAATATACACTCACGAGTGTGGCCAATTAATAAGAAATCGCTTGATAAGTTGGTTTCATTGAATTTATATTATTGTAAATTGATTTTGTTCATAACACTAATACCAGTAAATACAAATCAAATGTATAAATCAGGTGTGTTCTTTATTAATTCAATTTTTCTTTTAAATATGTTCTTTATATACATTGAAGGAGTGTGTATGTGTGTATGTTGCGAGGAAGTTTGATTTTTTTTTTGCTTCTTTCGGAGAACGTTGGTTCCCCGGGATCGAAGATGGTTTCTCCAAAAAGATTTAGCCGCCCCTCGGCATCAAACGCGCAACAAGCACTTGAACGAAAAAAAAATCGCCTTCATCGAAATTAACTCTTTGCTTCGAATTGAAAACGGATCTCTAGGCACTGTACAATGTCACGAAAATGATGGATGAAGGAAAGAAACGTTTAAGACCCAATTTAGTATGAATTAAGGACCGAATTGTCATAATCACTCTCTATGCTGCAATCAAGGTCAATCCGTTTCGCAAATTCCGTTTTTTCTTCTTCTTCTTCTTCTGGTTTGATGCAAAAGAGTGAGAAAATGTGTGTTACAAATGCGCAATCAAAAGAAAAAAAAATTCTTTTCGGACCAAGGGGGAAACTACTACTACCGCGTAATTCATATTAATACAATCTAGTACAACAAAAATTCTGAAAAATTCCGAAAAATTCTGCGCAATTCAAAACAATTCCAATCAATTCCGATGTTCCTTGGTCAAATTTGGTGATGATCAACTTGAAATATCGCAAATAATCGGGACATTTACCATTCATTTGAATGCATATTGAAGATTTTTACTTCCAGAACATATTTGACTTGGTTTGATCTACAAGACTCAATTCTAGCTCTGTTTTCTATTTTGAAAATATTTTATGTATCATAAAGCCTTTACCTATTTGAAGTGAAATATTGAATTGGAAGTGAGACCTATGTACAATTAAAACGCCCTATCTGAAGTTATTTCGATAAGATTGAACATCTTTGCGCTTAAGCATTCCTTTGAGATGCTAAATGACCCTATATTTGCAATTTTTGGAGTTGATCATCATCAAATTTGACTTAGAAACATCGTTATTGATCGGAATTGTTTTGAATTGCGCAGAATTTTTTGGAATTTATCAGAATTGGAGTTGTACTAGATTGTATTAATATGAATTATGCGGTAGTAGTAGTTTCCCCCTTGTTTCGGACATAAACATTTTGGAAATGAATTTAATCAAATTTCCTCCGAAATAAAAATGGATGTGGATTTCTCTCTCTCCCTTTCTCAAATTTTTTTGGCGTTTGTTTTTTTTTATTTCATTTTTGAAATTGAACACGGAATTTCCTGAATTGTGGATTATTTATTGTGTGGGTTTAGCTTAGTATTTTTTTTTCTCTCTTCCATTTAAATATTACCTTCACATTACATATTCCAAATTGGTGCTTGCTGTGTCAGAATCTACTAGTCAAAAGTCAATGGAAACATGCACCAAACGAAATTGTTTGTGTTTGTGTGGGTTATTTCCTTCTTCTTCTACCCTTTGCTCGATGCGCTCGTAGCACACAACAAATTCACGTACAGCAATATAACGCAATGGCAATGGCAGTGTGCTCATTTAATTAACGCATTACCATTTCATTGTGATTTTGTACAGAGCGCTGTTTTGTTTGGCTTTTGTTTTCGATACATATCGATTACTCAGCGATGCACGTTACCAGAATTTTGGCTGGTACACAGCACATTTCACCAGTTGCGACTTCGGTCATATATTCGTTGATGCGAGTATAGTGTGAGTACGGCTTACCAGTTAGAACGTGTGTACATAAGGCGCGAACTAAGACGACAATTCACTTCGCAAAAATTCGACCGCTTCGCACACACGTTGTAACTGGTAAACCGTACACACGAGCCACAGTTTGCTTTGATTCGCATGAACGAATGTATGACCGAAGTAGCGAATGGTGAAATGTACTGTGTACCAGCCGATCAACTGGTGACGTGCGTCGCTGAGTAATCGGGCAGAAAAACAAGAAGAAAGAATTTCATGCATTTCATTGATTGAAAAGCAGCCACATGAAAATAAAAAATAAAACAAATATAGCAAACAATCCATTCAATTTGCATAATATAACGTTCCATTTGACGCGCGCAATTTCTTGTTCCGTCGTCTTCTTCTTTTCCTTTTTTTCGTGTTGTTCTCAAATAGACTCTTAACGTGGTTTATTTGATTCATTATGCATTATTTATTGTTTTTTTTTCTTCTGTTTTGTTTCTTCTTCTCATCACTTCCTTTGCAATTTATCTAACGAATAACGAACTATAAATATGAGTGTTGTGGGTTTTATTTTTTATTTTCATTTTCATTCATTTGAAATTTATTTTTAATAAATTCATCAATCACTACTCTTGAGTTTTTGTTGTTGTTTTTTTTTCAATATTCCATAACTCTCTGCTTTTTTCAGCTTGATTTTGGTTTGCTTTTATTTATTTACTTTGTATGTGTTTTCAGTTTTATTTTTCTTTATTTTAATTCTTGGGCATTGTGTGTCATTTTTTTGTCATTTTTCAATATATTTTTGTAGGCATGGGATTTATACACGAGAGGATGAGATGGCTTTGACATAATTTTTTTTGTGCAATTTTTGTTTTTCATGATTCTGTCTATTCTGTATTTTTTATTAACTATCATAATTTAGATTTTTTAAAAAATTATAATATCATATTTAAAAAAGAAAATTAAAAAAACAAATCGACTAAAATGATTAACAGGATTGAACTTTTCTCATTCTTAAATAAAAAAGTTAAGTCAGAACTCATTGTTGTTGTTGTTGTTTTTTTCTTCATCTTGTGTGCAATGGTGTAAAATGTATTTAATAAAAAAAAACAGTTTAAAACAATTTTTCTCTTTTTCAAACGAAAAAAAAAAACAATTTCATTATATTCAAATTAACGTAAATTTCATGCACTGGCTTTGTGTGTTGTAAGGAATTTTTTTTACTTATAATTTTTTTTCTCTTTTGTCGTTTTTCTTTCTTTCTTATGTTAATCAGAGGTGAATATTTTGCAAATACGTATTTTCTGATTTCGGATTTCAGTTTTCGATAATAGTTTTTGTATTGTTTTTATTTGCTTCTATTTCGCTCTCTCATTTCAATTGCTTATTATTGTGGATGTCACGCAAACACGTAAGGAAACAGTCGGGTAGATTGCATATCAGAAGCAACTATAAATTGGTCGCCGACATGGAATCATCGTGTGTTGTTGTTGTTTTTTTTTTATTTGTCGCACACATAAATTCTATAACAGCAGCCCGAACACTGAACGTTCGGCATTCAAACCAAAGGTAAAAACCTGGTGCGCTAACTGTCAATCGATATACATGTGTATTCAGCGAACTGAGAAGCGATGGGGCTGAGAAGCGATGGGGGAAAACAGGTGACCGGGGGGAGGGAAATGAATATTAATTTTAATGAAGGAAAAAAAATAATAAATAACACGGACTTTGATATGGTTGTTGTTTGGGGGCGTCAATTTAACATATAATCTCTGTCTTGATGCACTCTTTTATAAGATTGATTTAGTTGAGTTGGTGGTTTGAATTAAAAAATACGCTTGATTCTGAGTGACAAGCCATGTTTGCTCAAACAGATCACGGTGAATTGAATCGATGATTCTAATATCTTACTTGTGTGTATGTGTATGTGTTTGTTAATGTGAATTTTCATTTGAAATTTACAATTTCAAGTTCTTTTTTCTTCTCTCTTATTCATTTCCAAGCGTTTCTCTTTTTATCTTGCTCTCTGTCGCTCTCTCGCTCTCCCTTTCTCTATCTCTCTCCCTTTCTCTATCTTTCTTTCTTTCTATTTACTGAATTCCAACCAAATCAAAACAAATAAGGAAGTGAGTTATTATCAAATAGTTTTGGTTTGTCTCGTCGATTTTTCGTTCGTCTTATAATTTTTGTTTTGTTTAAGTTATTGTTATGATTTTTTTTGTTTAAATAGTTTACTTTGTTTATCATCTTAACGGATGATCGTTTAATCACACTGAGGCATAGATACACAATTATTTCGCTGGGAATGGACAAGTCCAACTAACAACATGACTAATCGATGAAATCAACAGAGAAGTATTTTGTTTGTTTTTTTTTTGTTTTGCTTCTTCAATTTACTTGCGCTCGAATTCCTAACTGTCAGATTTCAGCCAAGGATGATCCAAGCACTGAGCGGCCGTTGCACGCTTATCGGGATCAAATTCGAGCATCGGTCGCAGAAAATCGGCAAATTGGCTGGCTTCTTCCACCGTCCATTCATACTTTTGCATCAGCACTTCGTCCAAGCCCCACGGTTTCAATCCGGTTATGTGCCGTAGCTCACCTTTCTTATTGAACACAAAGTGTGACAATGTGCCCGACAGGATGATTTTCTTTGGAATTGGACCCAGCAGTTCAATAATGTGCGCAATGTGATCTTCGTCACGGCAATAGTTTTCACCTGAATGCGGTTCGAATAAGTAATCACCGGTGGCCAGTTCAAATGCCATGCATGCCGTGCTCCAGATATCGGCAGACACATTGTACGATGCTCCCAGGATGACTTCCAATGAACGATACTGACGGGTTTGAATGTCTTCGGTGAAATGTTTGTGCACCCAGCATGCGTTTCCCAAATCGGCAATCTTCACTTCCATGTCGCACACCTCGAACGCTGGATCTTTGGGCGGTGTCAACATTTTCTTGTTGATCGCATTGTTGTCTTCGACTTGAACAACAACTTTCGTCTTGCTGCTGCCATTTTTCGACTTATTCGAGGCAATTGGTGATGTTTTTGCGGCTGATTTGCCCGCTGATTTTGAGTTAACTTCGTTACAATTCTCAATGGACTTTGAATTCGGCAGATCGCTACTCTTGCTCTTCTCCGATTCACAATCGTCACCTTTGCCATCTTCACTTTTGCTCAACTTTTTGCTGATCTATGAATGGGAAAATTAGAACAAAAAATAATGCATTGGTTCTTTGTTTGTCTTGAAAGAAGTAACAATTTTAGAAGCAATCGCATGCACAGCAAGAAGAAAACAGAGAAGAAGAAGAAGAAGAAGAAGGATGTAGATTATTGCACTTACCTCAAATTCCGAGTCAGACTTTGACGAGATTCCATTAACTAAACCAGTCGTTGCGGATGTAACGCTTTCCACAGAGTCATCGTTATTGCTAATTTCTGGTTCGTCCGGGGTATTGTCATCGTCATCTTCAGCCGTACCGTTTCCACCGTCACCGTTTGTGTTGTCTTCGGATTTTTCATTCAATGATTCCAGCTGATGAATGTGCTCCAGTTGTTTTTTGATGAGTTCGGATTGTCGTTTCGCCTTCTTCTTCAATTTTTTCTTCTTGTTCTTGCTCATTTTCGACGTGATGGGCTGTTCTTGGAACTCCTTCGGTGCGGTGCTGATCAATGAATACGGCAGTTTGAGACCCATTGCATGCAGTTCAGTTGCTTCGCAAGCCAACTTCCGGATGTACGTTTCATCGACACAAATGAGAACATTTTCGGGCTTGATATCCGTGTGAATGATTTGACACTGAGTGTGCAAATAATCCAAACCTTCGAGCACTTGTCTGATTATTGATTTTACGTTCGGCAACGGGATACCACGATAATTTGATTTTAAAATAAGCTTAAGTAAATTGTGGCCTAATACTTCGAACACCATGCAAACGTGTGTGCCATTGACGCCCGTTATTTTAAAGTCATTTAGCAATTGCACCGTTTTGTTGCGCCGCGGATTAAGCGGATCACTATCACGTACCGCTTTCAGTATTTTGATCTCATCCTTTGCCGTTTCGGTGAAATGATGAGCAGATTTAACAATTTTAAGCGCTACATAACGTTTGTCCTCCAAATCCCAGCACAGCCATACCGTTGAAAAGTGACCCCAGCCCAATTTCCGGGTCACATGGTATCGATTCAAAAATAAATCACCAATTTTCACTGGATGATAGCCACCTTTGCAGTAATCCTCACGATTCTCTTGCTCCTCATCTTCGCTGGTGTACAAATCCTCGTGCTCGCCGATCGTTTCATTGGAAGAACTATTCGATGGATCGAGACTTTTCACTTCTGGTTGCTGCAGCTGCGGCCCCTGGTGATGATTGACAGTGGAATACGTGATTTCTTTGTTTAATAATGAATTAATGTCCTGAATATTATCCAGAATGCTGTTCGCATTGTTTGTAATGCTATTGTCAATTGGTTCGTTCGCATTGTTGCTGTTGCTGTTGTTCACATTCGGATCGAACATTTCATTTTCATTGTTTGCGAGTGTTGTTGGCGATGTTACGGTATCATCATCATCATTCGGTACGTTTGATACGGTGGTGGAAACATTCACTGCTCCGGCTGGCCCATTTACCGCGTTTCGACCCTTCTTTTTGTTTGCCTTATGGCGCTTTTTCTTCGCTTGTATCACTTGCACACGTCTGTTTATATCTTTTTTCGCATTCATACTTTGGTTATGATGCTCGATTTTAAATTTAGTTCCACCCTTTGTTTTATCGTAGTCGTCGTAATCGCAGTCGTTGTCGTCGTCTTCGTCGTTCTCGCAGACAAATTCTTCTTTTTCGTCAATCAACCTGCACTGCAAATAATATCTCTGTGTTATTTTTACTCTTGTTTCATCGAATTAAAAAAAAACCACCACCACCACAATCACCGACAACAGTTCGATGCGGATGTTCTATTCTTTTTCAATTTTTCGATTTTTTTTCTTTTCAATTTTTTATGTTTCGTAAAAAAAAATGTCAAAACAGATTCAATTTCGAACGATGTTAGAATTTAATTTTTTTTATATGTTTCTTACGTTGTTTCACACCTTCAATCGATTCACAAACGATCTGCAATGATTTATTCTATTTCCTTTAGATGTTTTTTCTTCTTCTCTCGCTCGCAATGAGTTTCGTGTTTGCCGTGCACAAAATTCGCGCACGCAAATCAAATGAAATTCAAATTAAAACAAAAAAAGCCTCGATTTTCTTCCACTTCGGTCTTCCGTGTAGTCGTTTCTTATTCTAATTCCTCTTTTTTTTCTCTCCTCTTGTGTTGACTTGTTTGAGTATGGCTACGATGAACGACGAACACGATGAAAAAATAACAAAATGATGTCTATGTAAAGCAATGAAAAAGAAGGCTACTTACTGCCTTTGCGGCGAATTCATCGAACTCGAGTTCTATTGAACGGTTAACATGCGAGGCCACAACCGAACGTGTGCACCAGCCACAATGTAGACGGCAATGCGCTGCGCTGTTTGCTAGGGCATTGAACAAGTGAAGAACCATCGAGAAAACATGTGTGGTGTATAATGAAAGCGAAAATCCCGACGAAAAAAAAATCCAATTGATTAAACCAATCGGTTGCCGGGAATTTTTCTATGACATTTCAAATTGATTACTGAGATGCATTAAAATAACCTAACAATTTTGAGTCATTATGGCAATTTTATTTCAGCATTTTTTTATTAACAAAACTATTTTCCAAAACCGATAACATTTGAAATTGCTGTTGGAGTGTGAACGCGCCGCAATCGTTCCGCTTGACGTTTGTGCAAAAACAAACGAAGTTGTGAAATGCACGTCGTTTTTGACTTGTACGAATAGATTCTTATATTTGACCGAGAATTTATCATTCAAAATGGATCGTCTGATCAAAATCCCGCTGCAACATCGCTGTCTTTTGGGGTAAGTGCAGAAAATTCGCATAAAAAGTAGGAAAATTGGAGGAAAACCGTAATAAGTTAAAAACTGTTCGTCTCTCTTCTCCTCACACTTTGACGAATAGAGACGTCAATTAAGGGGTTGTCGGCAAATTCATTACCGAATCTTTTTTTGAATTGATTTGCAGAATTCGAAATGCCCAACGTATTGTACAAAAGCGAAATTTGGGTGAAGTGAGATCGGTCAGCGGTAGTGGCAGTGCAAAAGGCGAAGATCCAAATCGGCCGATCCTATTTTTTGGAAGTGGAGCCGAGAAAATCCGTGCCACACCAGTAGCTCCAGTCCGTACTGCAACATACTCACCTTATATTGTGAACCTCAGTCTTGCCGTTTTTATGTTTTATTTCATGTATTTGCGCGAGGAGAATGACATCGATGAACTGTTCAAACGAGATTTGTACGATCATTTCGGCGAGGAAGCATCCCGATTAAAGAAAGCTTATGATTACAATATAAAACACAATTTACCAACAAACGAAATTGTGAATCGATTACGAGAAATTGGCGCACCAGTTCCACCACAGATGTAATAGAGTTTGAATGCCTATGTTCTTAACGTTTAATTCAATATTCAGAACAACATCCATTGTTAACCAAAAATCTATCTGATGTTCCAATTGGATGGTCCTATTTATTAGCATTAGAATAAAGTATAAATGACAAAAATCACACTTAAAACCGAGGCTTTTATTTGGTCACTTTGGGCAAGGCATTTTCCTGATGGTGAGATATCTTGGATGTTTCAAGATTTGAATTTTCATTCATCGGTTCAGTCCAATTCAAATGTATATTTATGTTCATTTGAGTGAGGTTCTGTATCGATTTTACAGATTTGGTTTTGCAGTGAATCGGGCCACACTAAAAAAAATGTGGCGAATTGGTCACAACAAGAGAACACAAACCCATACACATACAAATACATACCATCCATCCATTCCGCATTGCATACCAACCATACACACACACATACGCACTCGTACATACACACATGCGTACATATACTCTATGTATAGCAACATGCTAGCGTAGAACGACTGAACGTACTGCAAACGATTTGGATTCGGCCAACAGCTACAGCTACAACAATAACACCGAACAAAAAAAAAAATATCGGAACAACGAACGAGTGGTGGCGGCGGCCATTTTGGTTTTTTCGTCATGTTTCGTTCGTTTGTGTTGTATCGTGCATCTCGTTCGCGCACCGTAAAAATTTCATCATCGGATTCTTGTTACACGTTACACACATACTCACACACATCGTCAAGTTAAGTCCGTACACATCCAACATCTCGGTTGGTTGGTGCGTATATGATCGGTTGTGTGTATATGTGTAGGCTGGTTAAATGAAATTAAAGGTTGGCAGAGCTAGAGAGATACCGTGAATGTATTGGTGCTGGCCGCACACACACAGTGGATTGGAAAGTTTTCGGTTTTATTGTTTTTGTTTGTATCGAATTGTAGCACTCGCTCGTGCGATACATTCTCGTCTATGCATTATTATGATTCGTAACAATCAAGCAAGCAGCAGTGTACAGCATATAGTCTCGTAGTCCAGAAAAAAAGAAGTATATTTATATTATTATTATTTTTTTTTTGTACAATTTGTTCGCTACTTCGATTCTGGTGTTTCGTTGATATCTTTGCTACCAACACAAAATTAACAAAAAAAAAAGTAAATACCATAGCAAACGCAAAAGAATCAGTGGAATCGGACAAACACACAGTGGGAAAATAATATTTGCATGAAAGAAAGGAAAATAAACGTAAAAAAAAAACTCTTTTTATTGTGTGTTGTACAACCGCGGTTGTTTTAACGAGGGAAAAGAAATTTAAAAATCACAGTGAATACTAATTGAAAAAATTCTATGTGAATTATCGTTGATCATCGGTTTGTTGCTCATTGATTCGTTTCGAATTCTGAACTGACCAAATTAAAACAAATATCCCGCTGCAACACAACATCAAAACAGCGCACTCATTTGAATCGGTTTTCGGTTTGAAAATTTTAATTTTCTTCATTGTTTTGGTCCATCCAGGTCTATGCGCAAAAATTTTCCGCGTAAGCGGTTAAATGTTATGACTAACATCAAGTAAAATCGAAAGCACTTTTAACGAATTTTCCAAAAAAATTAAACGATTTCAACAAGTAATGCAATGTAATTGTACAGTGAAAATGTTCAACTGAATTTTTTTTCCAATAAAAAAAATCATCCGAAAAAGGCATACAAATTCAACAAAGAAAAAATATCTAAAATTGTAAGTAGACATAATCCAAATATATATTTTTTTTTCTGAAATTCTATTCCTATATGCTCCTCGTTTTATATTATTTATATTTACGTTATTATACGTAAAGCAAAAACAAATTAGATTTCACCCACAATTTTTCAAATAACGACGGTCGCATATTTTCCGCCTGGAAAATGATTGTGTTGCGCCGAGAAATTGAGAACTGTTGGAAAATTGTACGGGATGCAGGATAAGCGAATGGTTCAAATGGACAAGGGCTCAGCATTGGCTTTTCGGATCAATTTCATATCAGTTCGAATGTAGAAGCAAAACATAATGAGTAGATGAGTAATGTAAGGGGCAAAAAAATAGTAGCGAAGTAATAGTATTCTGTACGATAGTGTGGTGTGTTAAGTTAACAAACACTCATCTAAACTGTGAATGAAATGAAATTCGAATTAAGTTATTTTTGGTTTTCGACGTGAATTTGAATCTATTGTTGGAAAATCGGTAGCTCAAAAATTTCTGAATATATTTCACTCAATTTCGTCGCGCATTCGATGGAATTAACTTGAGATTTTCCTGCTCGATTTTCATCAATTCCTCCAAAATTGACGACAACGATAACGACAACGACGGACTACCACAACTACGACCAGAGCCGAATTCATTCAGTCGAATCAGTCGCTCTCTCTCTCTCTCTCTCTCTCTCTCTCTCGTTATGCACGGTGTACACCGCTCGATTTGAGAATATATCGATGCTGTGAAAATGCACGGATCAAAAGTGCATCCAGTGCCATGGGTTGCAGAAAAATCAACCCAACGATTTTGCGTTGATGTTTGCACATTTTCGGCGGGAATAGGCGATTTTTGTTTTGGTTGAAAAATTTGTTTATCACAAAATAGTATCAAATAAAGAAACGAAGAAGCAAAAACAGACAGACGAACGAAACGAAACATGCGAAAGAAGAAGAAAAAATTTTCACTGTCTCTCTGTACCGTCGTCGGTCGCTAGGCCGTTTCGGTGTGCATGGTGTGCGCGTTTCTTTCATTGCTTCGTTTCGTTTTTATCGCACATACAGGCAACGCACAATTGTGAGCGCTCTGTATTTCTCTTTAGATTTGCTTTTTCGAACGAATCGTCGTCAATCGCATTTTTCTTCCCGCTGTTCACGCGTTTTGCGCTCTCACATCGTTGCTGCTGCTGCTACGACGAATAGTCAGAGCACAGCTCAGTTCGGCTCTCTGCTGCTGTTTTGCCATTCACTCTTAACTCTAGACGACCGTATTCGTGCAAAGTTTTTTTTTCTTGTTCGAACAGATTTTTCAATATTTGAAGCGAATGCATGAGAGTACACACAACACTGAGCATCGAAGAACATTCAATAAATCGATTGCTTGGCGAAAAAATTTCATAATTTAATTTCGTTGACGTGAAATACCTTTTGCAATCGCTGCCTGTCCACTAATTTGAGTAAACTATCTAACAATAAGAAGAGGAAAAAAACCGTCTGGAATCAATAATCAATGATTAGAGCGACATTCTCTTTCACGGGCTCATACAGAAACATATTTCTTTTTTATTGGATTTGGTTTGAAGTTCAGTCCATGGGAATTTTTGTTAATATCAATCGATACTGACAAGAGAGAGAGAGAGAGAGAGAGAGAGAGAGAGAGAGAGAGGGAGAGAGAGAGAAAAAGCAACTTCCAGTGAAAATTGTGAATCAATTCATGTGCACAGAATTATTCTCCTCTTCGCAATTCGCTGAATGATGAAAATTAGCGCCATAAATGGATTGTGATGTATACACAAATTTTCTTTCGTTTGGTTTACGCGCGTACAGTCTCGGTTGCGGACGAAAAGCAGCAAGCAAGAGATTTTTTTTTTCATATATATGATCCGTATACGTGCAAACAATGGCGCACCTGACGTCAGATCGCTCTCTAACATATATATATATATATATTCATTGTAACTATATCAACAATTAGCGCGAACTCTCTGTGTTGTGCTACGCACAGTACAGACGTTTCATTCAAAATAATATCAATAATTTAGAATTTAAGTACAAGCAGTATGATTTAACACTCTATCGCGCCAAGCTCGAGCTTAATCAAAATGTCCAACAAAAACAAAACTCATATTGCAAAGATACGAGGCTGACGAAACAGAAATGAAATTTGCCTGAAATTTCATCGAAAATTTAGGATTAGATTGTGATATTAAAGCATGAAAAAAATGGATTTTATGCAGAGAATATGGCGATTTTTTCTCTCTCTCTCTTCAAATCGTTTCACCTTACATAACACTCCGTTTACTGAGAGAAAGAAAAAAAATGTTTTACACAAGTTTGTTCATTACAATTTTTCATTGCGTTGCCTGATTTTGTTTCAAGAGAGCGCGACGGTGTAAACGATGACGAGAACGACACCAAACAACAAGGGAATCGCAGGCACGAACATGAAACACGAACACACATTCAGTATCGCTCACTCTCTATATCGTTCGTAACCCATACACACACACACTCACGTTATCCGTGAACCATGTCGGTGAGTGAGTGCGTGCGTGTGAGACTGTGAGAGCTGTTTCGGCACTGTACGCGTAAAAATAGTATTAGCAAATGTTCGTTTCTTATGAACACATGAGTATTTTGTGTTCGATATCATACGAATAAACAACGGAGAACAAAGCATGTTTTGAAAATGCGCTCAATGGTCTTTCGCTTGTGTAGTAATGTTTTTTCTTCTTCTTTCTTATTTATTATCACAATTTTCATGTCCACCTCTGATTTTTTCATTCTCGCTAAAATAAATGCATCGCCATCTGAAAGAGCACCTAGATTTAGAAGGAGATTTATAGAGAGAGAGAGAGAGAGAGAGAGAGAGAGAGAAAAATCAACGTACGAACAAGCATGTTTCTTATTTTTCTGCACCTTATTCTTGAGCTTAGGCGTATCTCGTCTCACGGCACTCCGATATATCCATACAGCAATTTTCATATATTCATGTATGAATATCAAATAATTAGCTGGTTAAAGCCATTCGCGCGTTTCAATTGTAGGTATGATTTTTGTGAATGTACAAGCATTTCGTATGATTAAGTACATAGAGGCTCAACATCGTCGTATCTCCGAGACACAAATACAAATGGGGCGCGCGCGATTGATAGAGAGACGGAGAACGACACACAGAGAGAAAACGAGATGTGCGCAGAACAAGAGAGGCGAGATAGGGCGCATTATACTCTTAGAAGGTGTTGTGTGTCGGTGCGGAGAACTAGCACATATTGTCCCCGCAAACGGGAGATCCATATGTGTGTGGCTGTACTCGTGCATCGTCGTCGTCGTCGTGCACACACTGATGAATTAGTAGCGCTAAAGAGAAAATATTGATTTATTTTTATTCGTGAATATACTGCTTACATTCAACACTCAACTCATTTTTATAAGAGTTCAGCGATATTTCGGATTCTCCTTTTTTTATTTCTACTCTTCTTGCTGCTGCTTTCGATTCGTTTTGTTCTTCGATGGCGCGAGCGCGCTTCAATCATACTGCTGCTTCTTATTTATGCAAAGTTTGTTTATCAATTTGCTTCACACATTGAACAGTTGCTATGCACTCTGGCTGCAGGATATTTTTTTTTTCTGCACTTCGGTCCTCTCCATTTCTTACAGTCACTTTGGCTGCATAACGATGTAGCAATACTTGGCGCAAATCGTTGAATTGTTTTAAGAAGGGGGAGGTTCGTTTTAAAATTCCGATAGTCCCTTTGGCGCTGAACGCTCACTACCTTTCTATGAACCGATGATTATTTTTCATTTTTCTCTTCCGTAAAATAGCGTGGTCCAGTTCATTTTGGCATTGATAGCAAAGTCCAATGCCTTTTCTCTGTGTATAACAAATGCAATTCCATGCCACACTACTAGAATTCGATCGTGGCAAATCGAATACCCGATTGTGCAATGTTTTGAGATGATTTCGCGCTTGTTCCACTTATCGGGGACGAATTTTTCATTCGCTGCACCGGCAAAACATACGAAACGGTCGGTACGATTCCTACGCATGCATGTGGATTGCGTATTCGCGACAAATGAAACTTTGTTGCGAAAATGCTTCACGGAGAGACATTCTCACAGAGAGAAATAGAGAGAGCGAGAGCGAATGCGCCGTGATGACGATCCGCCGATGAGAGTATAAACATTGGATCGACGCTTTTATTTGCGTTTCATCTCAGTCAAGACATGATGACCAAATGTGTAGTGTACACTGTAGATACTCTCTCACGATAACATGATATCAACGTTTAGCACAGACACAAGACAAAAGCAAACAAAACAAACTCAAACGCAGAGAAACACATTGTTATTTAGAAAGTTTTGATATGGACAAGCGACGGCCGCGACTTTGACCGACGGAACAAAAATCAATCGGAATTCGCATGAATGGAATTCATGAATTCGACATTACTTTTTCGCTTCAATTTAGGGCTTCGTTTCAGACGTTAAAATCTTGTTTTCTGTTGATGTTCTTTTCAGAACAGAATTCGTCGAGAATTTGTTTAGGTGTTGGAAAAAAAATTGATAGACATTTTAGGAGATTCTATGAACGAAAGAAATATTTCTAATTGTTTTGTAATTGTTGTTTTCACAAGTATTTTTTGATTAATTCTTCAATTCTTTTCAATGAGAAAAAAAGCTCTTCAAAATTGTATCGTTTTCATTTTGGTTGTTTTGCAGTTATTGACGTAACACCGGTTCGAGTGTGTCAATCACGATGTGGCTGCGAAGTGAAAAACGAAGCAGCCGCATTGCTCAACCCAACAGCAAGACATCAACGATAAATCTGCGAAAAATTATTAAAAATACTCCAGCATTGAAAAATTTGAAACAAACCACAACCACTGTCACATCTAATCGGCGCAGTGTAGTGTACTCAGCGACTCAGAGCATAGCAAATAGCAGCAGCAGCAGCGGCAGCAGTGGCAGTAGTAGTAGCAGCAAGCAGTCTGCATTTCGTAACAGTGGCGATCAAGCAAAACAATCACCAACTATCAAGTGCAATATCAAAAGTCGAACGGCGAGCGTTAAGCGTTTGGGCACAAAAAAGAGCTTGTTAAGCAAACGGCACAATCGTAAGAAATTCGAAGCAGCAACCGATCAAAGCAGTGAGAAATGTGGTCGTCTTCGGCGCAAATCACTGCGAAATATATCGGAGATGGGCAAAGAGAACTGCTGGCAGGATGAAGGACAATTGGATTTGTATGCGGTTGATGGTAAGCGCGGGCGAAAGCAACGGGCTGGCGTACCACCAGTTGGTTGTGCATCAACAGCAGACGATGTTGACAGCGCTGGCGCTAATGATTCCAATTTGCCGGACGTTGAATCTTTCTCGGGCCTTGTGATTGTGAACGAGGTATGTGATTCGTGCAAACCGTGCACCACATGCAACTGTTCGTCGAGCTCAAGCCAAACAGACGGCAACCAATCGTCATCGTCATCCAGTGAAGGTGTCACCATACCGAAAAATGTCGGCTGTGTCAACTACATTGAGTGCGATAGCACAACTGACAATGATCGAACCAATTTACCATCAACCTCAATGATAGTTACGGTAAGTGTGTGTGTGTGTGTGTGTGGGTTATAATGGCATGAATTCAATTTGTAGGACCCAAAATTGGTTCAAGCAATTAATTCTTTCAGAAAATTAAATTAAAATTTCCAATTGCTTGCACTGACATTTTTCAGACTGTCGATCCGGAAATCGACTCAACCACTGACCTGCTTCCAACCGAAGCGATTTCATCTTTGTCAACATCATCATCGTCATCCTCTGCATCGTCATCGTCGTCATCATCATCGACGTCATCGTCAATGTGCTGTGACGCCGAAACATTTTCAATGCAACCAACCCAAGACCAACCGGACGACAAGCTACTACTGAATCAAACACGTTCTCTCTTGACAACGGTCAATTTGCAACCGCAAATGTCCACATCATCGGCCGCATCCAGCAGTGCTTGCAGTATCAATAACTTCCCAACCACACCCGATCTTATCACATTGTTCGACGAAGAAATGAACAAAAACCCAACGGACATGTGTCAATACTCGGAATTATTTCCGTACAACAATGTAATTACACAGGCGCTGTTAAATTGCAACGAAGTGAATTCGTTGTGCGAACAGAGCACATCCAATGAATTGGGCCAAAACATCACCGATCTGACATTCTTATCGTCTATGAATCAAACGGCCATTGACAACCTGAAAGCATTGACTAATTTACAAAACCACTCGACTAGCTTCCTATCGGGGATCACATTGCCAAAAAATAATTATAACGACACAGTAAGTAGTGCCCTTGTTGGACATTTTGTCGATTCGGGAGCAGTTCCACCTACCTAACACATTTCCCTTCTTTTGCAACAGCAACAAGATCAACAGGATCAACAGAATCAGCAGCAACAACAAATACACGAAAACTTGAACGAAATCCAACTGGAGACCGACGAATGCATGGAGATTGAAGAGATAAACGAGCGTCAAGAGGAGGTGGCATGGGATGCATTCGATCCATACGTATTCATTAAGCATTTGCCACCATTGACAGCTGATATGCGTGCAAAGTGCCCAGCGTTGCCACTCAAAACACGATCCAGTCCCGAATTCAACCTGGTGTTGGACTTGGACGAAACATTGGTGCATTGCAGTTTGCAGGAACTGTCTGATGCTAGCTTCAAATTCCCAGTCCTTTTCCAAGTAAGTGATTCTTCTATGCTATTTCGATCGAGATTTCTGTTGCCGTTTTTAAAATTCGTACAAAATAAGTGATGTTGCCTTCAACATGCTTATATGCAAAGTCGATTCCATCAACTAATTCAATGTTCAATTTTCACAGGATTGCAAGTACACGGTATTCGTTCGCACACGGCCATGTTTCCGTGAATTTTTGGAGCGAGTGTCTACAATGTTCGAAGTGATATTGTTCACTGCGTCAAAACGTGTATACGCTGATAAGTTACTCAACTTGTTGGACCCAGACCGTAAATGGATCAAATATCGTCTCTTCCGAGAGCATTGCGTACTTGTCAATGGGAACTACATAAAAGATTTGACAATTCTTGGACGCGATCTATCCAAAACAATTATCATTGACAATTCACCACAAGCATTCGGGTATGTATTACGGCCGAAACAAGGCATTTTTTAAATTCATATTCGGTTTTGTCTGTATCGAAGTCGTATAATTTGTAAATTGAAATGTATTTTTTTCAATTTAGATATCAACTTGAGAATGGAATACCAATCGAAAGTTGGTTCATGGATCAAAATGACCGAGAACTCATGAAGATTCTACCATTCTTGGAATCACTAGCAGAATTGGTACGTAATTTGTTTGAAAAGATGAAACGAGTTAAATGTGACTCACTATTTGTCCCAGTAGTATTTAAAGAACGCCTGAGTTATAGACTCAATTTTAGCAGTATCTTTTGGCATTATGTCTCTCGCACCAATTGCTGTTACACTGTGTAACTTACACATCGTTGATGTACTAGCCGTTATTGATGCGAGCGAGCACCTTAAATAAAACTGCCAAAATTCCTATCGTATTTTCAAGACATTTGATTTTTGTTTTGAAATTTTTTTTTTGTTTGGCATGAGTTTTGATTCAATGAAATAAATTTTTTCCATTCAACAGCGTCAAGATGTGCGACCCCACATCCGTGAGAAGTACAACCTATTTCAATATCTTCCACCGGATTGAATGAAGATCTGAACGAAACTTTAAATACGAGACACCTTAAAAACAAACACCCACACACACACACACATATATGAATAGGCAACAAACCGCAGTAAAACAACAGAGAAAATACAAGAAACATCTAGTAATTTAGAATTAAGCTTTTTAAAATCTATATTATATGATAATAATCTAGTAATGTTTCAAAAACATTTCGATTCTCTTAAAAAAAATTTCTTCTATTTTCTTTCTTGGGTTTTCTTCCGTTTTGCTCTTAATGGATACTTTGTTACATCTATTTATAATGAAAAAAAAAAATGAAACACAAAATAAAAAAAAAACAAAGAAAATTAATTATAACATATACATCTATACGCAATGTCATCAAGACATTGAACCACCCAGAGAATACACGCAGAGAAATACAGTCGAAATATATTCGTGGAAAAATGTAGTCAAAAAAAGGCGAGCGTGAGATCATTTGATTAGTGTCTGATAAATCATATACTTGGTATTTAAAAAAAACAAGAGAAAAAAATTAAAATATTAACAATGAATGAATAGGCAAACCGTTGTCTTCGTTCACAATTTTATTAGATGTTGCTTGTTGTTAGTTAAACAAAAAAAGAAGTAATGTGACACGTTGAATCGTTCAGCATTGACACAATAATAATAAAAAAAAACAGAAAATAATAACCGAAATCCATAAGAGATCATCAATTAATCACAAGAACAAATTGAAACAAATCAAAAAATTGATTTATACAATTAAATAAACACACACACACAAAAAGATATTGTGAGTAGAACATTGCAGTATCTGTAAGAAAAAAATCCACTCGGAGAAGAACAAACAAGAGTATCAAAGGCAAACCAACTAGTGGTTGCTACTATTAAATTGACTCGACTATTAATTTGTTTTCTTTTTTTTCTTCAAAATATCACAAAAAAATATGAACAATTTGCAAACCAAATGCAATGGCAAACCAAAAGTGTGTGAGCATCTCTCGCGTGAAGAGTTTGATGACAGACAGAAAACAAGAATAACCATTTCCAACACTTTTCTTGAAACATTTTTCTCCCTCCAATGATTTTCATTAGCTTTTTTTCTGATTTTCTTTGCAATTTTTTTTTTCACACATATTTACATGCCTTCACATCAATTGTTATTTAGCTAATAGCTAACACATCCACTTTCCGTCAGGAGAACAAACAAAATTATTGAAAGCAATTACAAGTCTAAGTTCTTTTATTAAGCCTTATTCAAATCTTCAAGTAATTCATTTTGTAGCTTGTGTTCGCAACAAATGGTTGTATTCTCTCTGGCGAACGTGTAAAACACGCCTTAAGTGTTCTGTTTAAATCTGTTAGCGGTTTCATTTTTTAAAAATGAATTTGAAAAAAAAAAACGTAACGAACACCAGAGATTTTTTTAATAAATGAATTGTACGTTTGTTTCTTAAAATCGGTCATAACGATAAGTTTAATTTATTTAAACACATTTAGTCAGTTGAAGTCGAATTGCTCAACGACATTTTCTCTTCCCAATGTTGTTTGCATTGAAATACCAAAAAAAGAATTGAAAGAAAAATATTTCTGTACATTTTTTTCCAAGTTCTCTTTGCATCTAACACAACAACAAAAACAAAAATGTTACTCCAATTGCGCGGTCTCAATTTATTATTCGTATGGATTAATTAACAATGTTTTTAACTCAAAATCTGATTAAGTACAATGAACATGCACATGCAGCTCAACCAGCTGCACCGTATGTGTATCGACGTCTCAATTTTTAATTTAATGCGGCATTCAAGAAAAACAAATAATATGGACAACAATTTTTTTTTAAATCGAAAAACTATTTTATTACTATTATTATGAATTATGATTATTTTCTATGGAAAATGGTGCAAAAAAAAAATCTTCCCACAAAAAACAAAATAAGTCGAAACACACGAATTTTCCTATATGAACTTCTTCACTTGCAAACACATGCACATTTTGTATAAAATAACCAGATAACAACCGATAAATATTCACAAACGGCAAACAACATGAAATTAAAAGAAACAAGTTTGATTGTGATGTTATATGAATATTTTAAAATTATTATTTATGTATAAATTAAAATTACACAAAAAATCAATTAATTTAGTTTAGATTTTTCTTTCTTCTCCATTTCTTTTTGTTTATTTTTTCGCTATTTTTTATTACGGATTTTGAGATATGTGCATTCATTTTTAATTTAAAAAAAAACAACACATTCTCATGACCGATTCAAACAAAATAAAAACAAATCAATAAATAGCGCCAGAGATTTTCACCTTTGCAAATAATATTATTATAAAAAAAATTATATAAAAAATACAAATATATATATATATACATAGTTATACTGAATGTAGATTGAAAAATAACATGATAGTTAAAAAAAAAGTTGAAACTGATATTTGAAGAGTTGATTGTGTCTATATCAATATCGGCCCATTAGCTAAATTTACAGGAATAATAAATAATTTATTACCAAAATTTTCTACATAAAAAAATACAAGAATCATACAAAATGACGAGAGATGAAAAAAAGAAGTCAATTTCGTTTTCAGTTGAAGAGATTTACAAGAGAAAAGAAGCAAAATTATTAAATATAAACATAATTACATATGAATCAGCTTGAATCGATAGAACGAATGACACTCCAGTGCATGACGAAGCCCAGCAAAGTGCAGCACACACATACCAAACACATATTTTCAACAAAAATCAATCTTATGAATAAAAATCAATCAGAATTCTCTGTTTTGGGTACCAGTACTTGTTTTGTCATTTCCAACACAAATCACAGGCTCCCCCCTTTTAAATCTAGCCCCTTTTTCGGCTAAACGAACACATGTTATGCGTGTGTGTGTGTGTGTTGGAAGAACACAAACAACCTGACTTCATTCTAAATGTATTTAGCCACAATTTTTCATCATAATTGAAGTTGAAAACAAAAAACGAACAAAACGATGGAAACAAACAATATATCATTTCTTCCGCTTCAAAAGCATCAACAGTAACATTCTTCTCATTCATCACAATCAATGTGAACAAATTAGTTTATTATTTTAGCGATGAGAATCTTATCATTATCAAAGGGATACAGAAATTTAAGGAGAAAATCAACGAAATGTCTAAATAAAGCGCCAATTAACATTCAATAAAAAGAAAAAAATACACAAAATGATGGGCGTAATTTCATAAAAAGTATATAAACATATTCACTTGTTATTACACATATTTATAAAAAAAATCGACGGTTTCGAGAGAAAAAACACACACACACAACAAATTATTCAAATAAATTCTCTTCACTATACTATTCAATTCTTTCCGTCACATTTTAACCCCTCGATCGAATCAATCAGCTCTGATCGAAATAAGCAAACAATCATGTCTTTCACAGAAATACAACGTGATTTGTGTGTTTTGCTCAGTGATTGCACAAAATGTGACAGGAATTGTGAGAAAATAAAATCTCCCTTGAAACACCTGCATCCAAATGCACATGATCACCGACGAACTTGTTCTAAGATTTCACACACAGGCTACCTATGAGTTAGTCACAATGTCTTTCATTAAAAAAATAAAATCAATGGACACAAAATGAAGCCAACACAGATAAAATATAGTCCAAAAAAAAAAAATGGTTGATATGAACGAAATCAATTCCGAATCAAAAAAACATGTTCAGTTCCACCATTCAAAGAAATGAATAACGTTTTCTTCCCACAAAATATAATTTACTATGATAATATAATCAGACTGAATGAGAGAGGTCAGTGAGCACGATAATATCTGGTCGAAAATTGGGAACAGCGATATGAAGAATGAAAAGTATAAAAAAGCGCCTTAAGTAGATCTATAAAATGAACATTTTTTTTTCATGATAAAAACACAAGCAACAATTTCCTTACTCCAATAATTTGCCAAAACGGCACTATCCCTAACAAGGACCAACAAATATGGAATAAATTTTTCAACTATTTTGCATTCAATAAAACTGGCGTCTATCGTTTATATTGAAGCTCAACATCCTGACCAAACCGAAACATTTCTAGCTGCGCTGTAATTTCTCAACATTTTTATCGCGATGCAACAAAAACAAAAATTCTCCGCAATTAATTTTATATGAAAAAATGTCGCCACAATTTTTTGTATTTTTTCAATTTCTCAAGTGAAGCCTTCTAATGAGAAAAAAAATAGAGAATTCATAAGAGTCCCTACATTTTTTGCCACTGCAAATGCTATGGCACTAGTTTTTTTACATTAGGTACTTCGACTTGAATTTTTTTCGTAATTTTCTCATAGGATTTCACACATTTTTAACGCAACTCGATCACAGAGGAAATGGAAACTCGAATAGATTATCTCATTAAATGAGATACATTATGGGATTCGACACAATCAAATCGAATTAAATTCTATCTAAATAATACGTAATAAAAATGAAGTATGCAAATTAAAACGTAATCGTTAGCAAAATTTACCGTTGTAAAAAAAAATATTTCCAAATTTTGTTTCAAAAAAACTCATTTTACTTGAATTTCAGACGAAATTGGAGCCAATTTTTTTAAAAATACATATGAACGAACAGTTTTTAGTGTTGAATCGTAACTTTATTTAATTTGGTTTCCGAAAATGAACATTAATTGATTTTAAAATCTTTTTTTCTTGGTTTTGCTCTCTTTTTATCAAGTTTGATAACATGTAATATCAAACTGATCACTATGGAAGAACAACAAGTAAATAGCCACACTCAAAAATTTGCGAGTAAGTGGGGTGCGCATCATTGATTTATTAATGCCAATTTTAGTAAAGCATTTGTACAATTAATACAATATTATCGCCTCCCAAAAACGAGATTGGTTATAAAAATAATAAACTATCATTATAAAGTATTTAAACATAGCAATTTTTTTATTGACAATTTTGAATTTTCAGATTTGGTCAACATCGATTCGAATACCAACAAGGGAAATGTTTTCATTTCATCATTTTTTTTAAATTTAGCATTTTGATTGAATGTGTTGGCTGCGAAAATATCAACAGAAATAGCGATAACAACAGTTTTGCATCTGAAATATGAAAAGATTTTGGCGAAAGGTTATCAAACTGATATTTGCTCAAGTCATATGTCCAAATATGTATGTGTCATGTTATACACTTTTTGTGATCTCTACCACTATTATTATTATTTATTTATTCACCGTCTAATCACAGACTGAATAGCATAATACAATTTGTACACATTCCATAATTTTACACAAGCAGTGACACACCCCGAATCGGATCACCTAGCCACCAGCCCTAATGACTTCGAAGTGGCGTTCTGCGGCGACCGATTGTGTTCACCACCTCTAAACATATAGTTCCTCAAATACATTGTTGTCTAAATTTGCCACATTTCTAATGAATATTTGTCTCGATGCTGAGTCTAAAAACGTTTGTCTTACTTTATTGAAATACCTACACGCTAAAATAAACGGTTGGTTACGGGCGTAGTCAGTACCAAAAGTCTCAATTCTAACTAGATCTCTGTTTCTCACATTTCTTTGGTTCCTATTGTCTACTCGTCTAGTATATACAATTTTTTCCCTCAGTGCTGCGCTAATCAACTTTCCTAATAAGAGATCATAAATTGAAAATACTGGGGCATTTATACGCCGCCTCCAAAGCGGTTGAATATTCAAATTATCACATCTTAATTGGTACGATGGCAATCTGTAGTTAGCATCTCTTTGGTAAATTCCCCTAAGTGCCCAGATTACAAAGTCTTTCTGTACTGATTCAATTTTGTTAATGTATGACTGGTGATACGGATGCCACACTACACTAGCATACTCCAATTTCGATCGAACTAAGGCACAGTATAACAGTTTTGCTGATTCTATAGTAAACTTGTGTTTCAGTGTCCGCTTAATAAAACCTAATGCTCCGTAGGCGCTAGCTACTGTTGTATCGATGTGGTTGGCGAATGTGAGTTTCACGTCAAAAATGACCCCCAGGTCTCTGTGTAGCTCAACTCTACCAAATATGTGCTGCCCATTGTTTATCGTGTATTCATATCTTCGTACGGTGATGTTTTTAGCATACGTCATGACGAAACATTTCTTCAGATTAAGGTACAGCTTGTTGAGCATACACCATTCGTGCAATTGGTCAATGGCCATTTGGAATAGGCAGGCATCATTAAAACTATAAACGTCAGCGATCAACATCAACAGAGACACTATAGCACATAGCATTAAACGCACTATTGCTTCACTCTTTGTATACACTTTGACATCACTTATGCTTTGGCGCGCGTCGTACGTTTTTCAAACGTTTATGTTTGATTCAAGTATTTCACCGATTTCACCGAATTTTCTTACTCAATATCAATATATCCATTCTTACTTGGAAGTTTTTTTTTATGGCAATGATGTTTTAAAATATATTTTGTCGAGAAATATTTTTTTTTTCAATTTCCAAAATTAAATGAAATCAAAACACATAACATGAAACGCATTCATAGCGAAATGCATATGTATTAGTTTGTACTTATTCATTATAATGTATTTAGATAGGACGCTAGCGCGGCCTTTGTGATCTAATGGATTGTTATTCTAAGCAGAGCGCTTGATTGTTATTCATTTCAAAATGAACGGAAAAAATCTTCAAATTTCCTACATAACATCAGTTATAATTTATTGTGTTAATTCAGAAATTTTTCAATTAGAGGTATTTTTTATTATTTAATATATCTATCTTTAATACATCCAACGTAACAGATGGTGATCTATTATAATATATAACATTTATTGGTTTTTTTTTCTTCAGCGGGCTACACAAAACCAACTATCATGTCCCAGTGGTGAAGAATTGGTTATCAAGTCAGCAACTTCAAACACAGAATATTTTAGAAAAGAGTGCAGTGAAAAAAATTCTTGCAACCTAGTTTCGAATATAAATGTTCGTATTGAATATGCGTGTCTTCAATGCATCAAAACTAACATATGCACAAATGGATATTGTAAAGACAATATAAATCAATTGATTAAAGAAGAAATCAAAAAAAAAATTTCGGCAAAGAGAGTAAAGAGAAATGACGGTCACGGCCCCGAAAATGAAGAACCCATCCTTCTTGCCGCTTTGTCCAATATGTACAAGTGTATGGGAAATGTTCATACTACTCGAATCGCTGAACGTGATAATCCAGTTACAGAAAGAATGGATATGGATGTCCAGCTTAACGGAAATAGGATAGTTCGAATACCTGTATTCATAAAAGCAACTATTTTTCGGAGACATCTGAAATCGTATACATCGCGTGATACTTGGAAAACCGCAGTAATAAAACAAATGGAAGACATGAACTTCATAGAAGAATATGACGAAAAGGGTCATTTATTGGCTCATTCGTTGGGAGGAAACGAAGATGTACCAAATATAGTTCCAATGGCGAAAAATCTTAATCGGCATGGAGGGAAAGATGAGGAACAGAGAGATGCTTTGAGAGAATTCGATTTTCCACAATCAGAATGGAGAAATATCGAGGGCCGCTTGAAAAAATTTCTTGAGAACAATCCTGGTGGGCGAATCGACTGGATTCTCGGTTTGCGTTACGAAAATGCAGTCCGGAATAATTTCCGCCCTACTCATTTCATATCTCAATTCAATAGGTTCTCCTCAATTAACCCTGAAATCCTGGAGCATCGATCGGGCCAAATAGTGTACAAAAACACCAATGATTTGTCCCCTTGGCTTGACTATGATCGTCCCATCTAAAAAAAGTGTATTTGGTGGCTTGTAAAACATTCTTCTCATCCATCATTGATTGTGATGTGAAAGAAATCCAAATAAAAAACTTTAACAAAGTAATTTCTCGTGCGATTTCAATTTGCCTATTTTACATTCTTCTAACTGAAGAAAAGATGCAGAACATTTTATTTCTTTTTCTTCCAACATTCTTCTTTAGTTTTCACATCGCTCCAAATATTTAAAACAGATACCACAAGTATTTTGGTCACTTTAGGCGCGAGAATTGACTTTGTTAAAGTTTTTTCATTTGATATCAGCTGTTTTGTGATGAAATGTCGAGATAAAATAAACAGTCTATGTTACATTTGATTATGAATGCAATAAATTATTATAAATCCCAACAATAGTTCATGCTATTTCTTATTCTTGGGCTATTCATTTTGCATGTCCATTATTCTTTTTTTCACTAATTACTCTTAAAGTTCAACTATTACTGAACTATTAGCTTCGAAATTTGCCTTAGATGACAAGATATGCGAACAAATGCAATGATGATGATGATCAGGACGAACTGAGCTGGATTGTCGTTGAGTTCGTAAGCATTGTTCCACGTTTTCGGAGACACGTTTTCGGAGATTAACCAAATTGGAGTTAATTGTCGTTGGCATTAGTCGGTGCAACACATAGTATTTGTTCCAAAATTGCACAAACCTGGTGCACTTTGACGTTTGGTGCAAAGATGATTTTTTCAATAATCCGCGGAAAAAGTTTTCCATTTGAGCATTTTTTGAATTTGAATCTTGATCTGATCGAAGCGATGGACTCTCCCTTTATTGACGGAGTTCGTATTAACGGTTTGCATTAAACGAATCAATGCTTGTATGTTGATTTAACATTTTGGTGACGAAAATGTCACATTGCTCGTCACGCCTAAATGTTGATTAAAATAGGGATAACAACAGCGAAACCACCAGTCTGAAAACAATCTAGCGAAAGGATCACTGTTTTCCGGAATCATTTGCCGTTTTTTTTCAATCGAAACTGTGAACCCATTTAAAAAAAAGTACAGAAATCTACACGTTAGTACGATGTAAAGAAAAAATTTGCGAAACTCATGATCGATCAAGACGTTGCAACATTAAGAAGCAGTTAAATACATTTTTAGTAGTCGACCTGCTGCACATATTTTGATATGAATTGGCTGGAAATCAATAGACATGGTTTGAAGCATGACCAAGTTTAAATACTAGTGCGAGGATTGCCAAACCTATTTACACTTTGTCCAAATCAATGTTCACTTTTCAAAGTAGAGCAACGAGTTACTCACTCACATACGCAACGATTATCTCATTGAATGAGATACATTATGAGATTTGACACAACCGAATCGAATTAAATTCTATCTAAATAATACGCAGTGACTTTTTTTGCTCCGCCAACCCTGGTACAAATATTTCTTAGCGCCCTTAACAGTAGGGCAGCCGGACATGATTTTTTGAAAGACACAATTTTTGAAGAGCATGCGAAGTTTTTCCCAGATTCCATAAGAGGATCTGGAGCCACTATATGCAAATGATATCTTTACCATAACGATTTTGACCCTTTAGTAGATATTTAAAAGTGGCGCCTTCAGCGCTCTCGTGCGCTCTCAAATCGTTTGCGCTCTGGTGCATTGCACCACTCCACTCCGTAAAAGTGGCAAACGGACGGACAGAGGACGAACATTGCGTGTCCGTCCGTCCTTTTATTGATCTTGTCCTTATGACCCATTACTAAAAAGGACAAACGGACATTTGTCCTAATGTTCCATTTCAAATTTTGTTTCAAAAAAACTCATTTTACTTGAATTTCAGACGAAATTGGAGCCAATTTTTTTTAAATATATATGAACGAACAGTTTTTAGTGTGGAATCGTAACTTTATTTTATTTGGTTTCCGAAAATTGAACAACAATTGATTTTAGAATTTTTTTTTCTTGGTTTTGTTCTCTTTTTATCAAGTTTGATAACATGTAATATCAAACTGATCACTATGAAAGAACAACAAGTAAATAGCCACACTCAATAATTTGCGAGTAAGTGGAGTGTGCATCATTGATTTATTAATGCCAATTTTAGTTAAGCATTTGTACAATTAATACAATATTATCGCCTCCCAAAAACGACATTGGTTATAAAAATAATAAACTATCATTATAAAGCTCAAGTATCAAAAACAGAGCCATTTTTTATTAACAATTTCACTTTCATAGATGATTCTAATAACTCTACGGAAAATATCTTTCGTTTGGGCATTTTTTAAATTTAAATCTTGAACTGGACGCTCGAATGGAATAATGGATTGAATTCACCCTCTTATCCACTGAGTTCGTTTTCAGATTGACGATTTGCATTAGACGAATCAACGCTCGCATATTGATTAAACGTTTTGGTCGAAGATGTCACATTGTTCGTCGCGCCAAAATGTCAAACAAAACATAACAAACAGTGAAACCATTGTGAAAAGATTCTAAAGGGATTGTTGTTTATCAGAATCATTTTTATTCAAAATTTTTGTCGCAACAACGGCGAACCTATTAAAAATCTACAGAAATCGAAACGTAAGTACGATGTAAAAGAAAGGGAGCGTTAAAAGACATGATCGCATCACTAAAAATTAAAGAAATGCATTTCTGTAGATAGTAGTCGTTCTGCGGCAGACATTTTGTTGTGAAATACGTATTCGCCTTATCATTATGCAGAGCTCATGAAAAGAGTTTTGCCCTGAAAAAGAGTTCGTTGTCAATTTGAGTGTATGTTCAGTTGCAGGCATCAATCAAGATGGAGAAAATGGAGGAATCGACAGAGTCCACAGTCACTGAAGAAACGGAGCTGTTGGATTTCCCAGATGAGATCTTATTGAACATCATGATCCATATGAACGATACAACTCTCCTGAATATGGCTCTCGTTTGCGAACGCTTGAAAGCCATTGCTAAAGAGGCGTTCACAAAGAAGTACAACGGTACAAACCAAAGCAGTTACTTCGAAGTCAACATATCCCATCGAAATCTGATGGTCGAACGCGAACAATACCAGCCGTTGTTCAGTACATTTGGCGAGAATATGGTTGCAATTTACATTTGGTTTTCTCGCGGTAATGTAGCCCGTAACCATTGGATCTTTGCAATGATTCGACGGTTCTGCATCAATTTGTCAAAGATTGAAATTGGAGGGGGTGATGAAGTTGATCTGTTGAAAATGTTTCGATCGCTTCCAAAGCCATCGCTCACACATCTTGCTGTCTTATACACAAACGCTGCAGATACAAATTGGTCAGAATATCGACACCCAAATTTGATCAAATTCCATGTAGATGAGGGGTGCAACTTTGAGCAACAGGAAATCGTTGATTTCATCAGCACAAATACTCAATTGGAAGAAATACATCTCAAAAATGTGGAGGTCGATAACTACGTACCAATCCTCGAAGCAATCGGAAACAAGTGCGAAAACTTTCGCAAATTGGAAATCATGGATTGGCATCGAGATATGGTGTGGAACAGCGAAATGATCGATATTCTATGCAAATTGTCCTCACTCAACTGCCTGGAGATCAATGCGCATGGTCTGAAGCTTGGCCAACTTGAATCGCTGGTCCGACGATTGCCAAACCTATCGTCACTTCGTCTAAATCACACTGCTGCCACTTCGGAAATCTACGAAAATCTCACACGAGCAGTTTCAATTTGCCAACGCATTTCCGAACTCAAAATTCGAACCAAAGATCCCGATTTCGCAATGTTGACCAACGAATTACTCACTTACATCGCTGATGAAATAATGATTAGTAACAAAATGGTAGTGCTCAAAGAAGCTGAAGATGAGATAGTCATTGTCAAAGGAGAGGTGCAGCGAAATAAGGTCATCGTCTACAAGCATGATGCTACCGACGGTAACCAGCCAGCAACAAATTTCTTGGATCTGAATGACGATTGTTTGGCCAAAATCATCGAGTTCCTCAAACCAAAACACCATTGCGCATTGTACGATACTTGCCAACGAACCCGCAAAGCAGTCGAGGAATTCTATAGCAAAAATGTATTCTGTGCTCGCTTCACTTCGAAAGAAGTCACTGAGAGCATTTTGTGGTGTTTGGGAAAGCAGATCCGGTTGATGAAGCTCAGTCGATATTGGATTTCAACGCGAAACGAGTTCGAAGAACTGTGGCGACGCATCAATCAGTACTGTATCAATTTGAACCAACTAACCATTGTAGCTCGGATAAATCGTAATGGTGATGATTTTGTGACTCAAGTGGACTGTGAATGGCCATCGGCGGAGAAGTTGATGTTCACCACGTACCGAGTCGACTATGAAACTTTGTGCTCAATATTCTGTCCATCGTTGACTCATCTGGAAGTCAGCAATCTTCGAATCGATGGCAATATTTTGGACCATGGTGATCACTTTCGTCATCTGACCGTATTGAAAGTAAGCAACCCAAATACATAGTCATTGAATCAAAGCATGTTTAGTTCTGCTATTGTTTCCTTTCAGTTTGGCTACTACAATGAAAGTGTCAAGAAATTTCTGTTGGCCGTAGATGACAAGGTACTATACGAACAAATCCAAGAGCTATCGATTGGGTCACAGCATTTTATGGCTGAATCAGATGCAGATGATGAAACGGACGATGATGATGATGACGAACCGAGCCAGGATGTCGTTGAGCTCGTAAGCATTGTTCCACGTTTTCGGAAATTAACCAAATTGAAGTTAATTGTTCCTGGTGTCAATCGGTGCAACACAAAGTATTTGTTCCAAAATTGCACAAAACTGGCGCACTTTGGAGTTTGGTGCAAAGACGATCTTCTATCTGGTGAACTGTTCGAGCACATCATGGACAATTGTTTGCACATTGGTACCATTCGATTATTTGGCCATGGAATCTACGGAGGTCTTTTACAAATAGTCAGCGAGATGTTCCCAAATGCATCAGTTGAGGTCGCCATTTAGGACAACATAATATTATCGGTTACTGATGAAGATCCAGTTGTATCAAGCTACATCCTAGAGCTACATTATTCAAAAGAGCAATTAGATTTAAGGGAAAACCAAACAGTTTGCGGGCCAGAAATAGTTTATTGAATACTTTTCGACGCATCGATACACATACGATTTACTAAACGTAAACGTGAACCTAAACTAAAACTATTCAAGAATAGTAAAATATTTGAAATATTAATGGTTTGATGAGCTTTTTTATTAATTCTAAGAATTTGTAAACAATCGTGTGTGTGTGCATCTCTCGCGTGAAGAGTTTGATGACAGACAGAAAAAAAGAAGAATCATTTTCAACACTATTCTTGAAACAATTTTCTCCATAAAAACGTCCCTCCAAACAATTTCATTAACATTTTTTTCTGATTTCCTTTGCAAAAAAAAATGTTTATGTATATTTGTAAGCTTTCACATTGGAACGTCTAAATAAAGTGCCAAATTATATTCAATGGTTAGTTAGTTATCATTAAGATAAGTCTGGTTAGAGACTGACGACAAAACTCAAACAAAACTTAGTTCCTCACTTATTTCTACTAGATGAGAATATTAAAATGTTGGAAACATTTGTTGTTTGGATGAAAGTACAAAATAATATGCAAATAAATTCATTTAATGTGCTCTTTATTCATTGATTTTTGCAGCGTTAAAAAATAATAAACTCTCATTACAAATCTGATTTGGTTGACTACTAATATTAATTCAATTTTTTCGCTTTTTCGAGAAGCAATTATGATTTTTTTCAATAATCGACGGAAAAAGTTTTCCATTCGAGCATTTTTTAACCCTCTAATGCATTAATTTTCCCCAGGGCTGGGAGTACTGGTACTTGGTTGATTTTTGGCCATAGATAATAGGGTGGATCGATTTTGAACAAAAGGCTCGATCTATCCGGAACATACTGCTATCGATAAAGAGCCTCAATACGAACAACTTTTGTTCGGGGACCTAAGGTCTAAAGGACAAACTGGAATTGCCCCTGTTGATTTTCTGAGAGGAGTTTTTTCCTTTATTTTTAGGGTTTTCGACCATATTTTTCTTTGAAATCAATTTGTTTTCGTCATTTCTTCAATTTTCACATAATTTATTTACACAAAATCTGTATAAAAACACTGACTCAAATACTTACACCGTTTAAATCAATCCTTATAGACATACATACAATTGATTTCAAAGAAAAATATGGTCGAAAATGTAGGAAATGTGGAGAAAATCAGACATTCCGTATGGCTGCATATTGAGCTGAGCTATTTACAAATAGCTGGCTGTTTGGTACATTTTGATTTTGTGACTATCGAGACATGCAAATTCATGTGAGATGATAAATTTGGGACACCTTTTTCCATCCTTTCCATGAACTTGTGTCATAAATTTATCATCTCACATGAATTTACATGGTTCGATAGTCACAAAATCAAAATGTACCAAACAGCCAGCTATTTGTAAATAACTCAGCTCCATATGCAGCCATACGGAATGTCTGCTTGCATGATGTTCCATACTCCCCAACGACATTCAAATATATGGCCAAACGGATTTCTCGATTCGGGCAATTGAATGGGCTCATTTTCTAGAAAATCGATATTTTTCGAAATTTTCTTTCAAAACCCATCCCAGATAAGACTTATTTGAGCTGATATGTTTAGAAAATTTATTAAATTATGCATTGGCTACAATAATGTCACAGATAGTGGCCAAGTAAAACCGAATACTAAGCCATTTATGGTTGAAAAATCTAAAATAAAAGACTAGGGTATTATTTTCGACTCCAAGTTGAGATTCGACAAGCATATTGAATTGATAACAAACAACGCCTTTAAGATGCTGGGATTCATAACGCGTATAACGCAGGACTTTACCGACATAAAATGTGTGAAGTTACTGTATAACACGCTCGTAAGGTCCCACCTAGAGTACTGTTCAAGTGTTTGGAATCCTTACACAAAAAATAAATAAATAACAAGCATCGAAAGAGTGAAAAAGTCATTTACACGGCATGTCTTTTATAAAATACGTGAAGCATATGTCTCATACGACGTCTGACTTGCGCATCAGCAAATGAATACAATGGAACAAAGAAGAATTTACTACGACATGTGCGTTGTCCACTATGTTTTGCATACAAATTTTATTTTTGATGGTATTGAGGCCTTCTATCGATGGCAGCATGTCCCGGATAGATCGAACCTTTTGTTCAAAATCGATCCACCCTAATAGATAACTAAAAAAATATTCATAATCCTGGATCCGTCATGGTTTAGTCAGGAAATGCGATTGACATAAATCAGAGAACAATCAAATCCATTGTTTAAAAGGGTCAAAAATGTGTCTAATTTGAAGTTCGAATAATTTATTTTGTCAAATTTTTGTTTTTGCACACATTTTTGTTTATAACTTTACAATCACACTACATAGACAAATATTGTCAAGGACAAAAATAAAGAGAAAACATTGACGAATAAAAATTCTATTTAAAGCAATGTGATCCGATGTACGGTTTACGTTCTACAGGCGTTCAAATGTTGCCCGCCTAGAAGCGGTTGTATGCATTAGAGCAGTGCTGTCCAACCTTTTTTTCCGCGTGGCCACAAAAGTGGCCAATCGTTCAATCCAATGGCCACTTAAAAAAAAACAACAAAAAACGCAGAACACACAGTAGAAAATGTAATATTACTTTGTTTTTTATTCATTCAGTGGGAAGTTTGACAATCTTTATTTTCGGTCAGTTTATTAAGATCAGGCGTTGAATCGGCTAGTTCGCAACGAAGTTCAGATTCTAAATTTGTTTGCAACAGTGCATTGCGGTATTTATGTTTACGACGTGTTAGACTGGAGAATGAAGCCTCACAAACGTATGTGGACCCGAATATGCAAAGAAATTTTGGCACAACATCTTTAAGAACTAGAAAATTGCATTCAGATAGCAAACGTCTCCACAATGCATCACTTGTTTCATTTGGCAAACCACTTTCTTCATTTACTAACGATTTCTTTTTACTAACGACCATGCACACAGAAAAGAATCCCCGGAAATTTTGGGTGTTCGCCGTAAAATTTGACATTTATATTTCTATATACATCATAAATTTCTATATACATTTTACCGGCAACACTTCAATTTTCCGGGCGATGACATATTTTCGAACATTTTATCAAATACTATGTATATTTTACCGCTTGAAATGACAGATGGCGCTAATTTCTGTTGGAATATTTGAAATTATGTCATCGCCCGGAAAATTCAAGTGTTGCCGGTAAAATGTATTTAGAAATTTATATATAAATGTCAAATTTTACGGCGAACACCTAAAATTTCCGGGGATTCTTTTCTGTGTGTGCCAACACAACAGTGAGTGATGCTACTAAACTGTCATTGACGGATAAAATCGACATTCACCACCCTCCTTTGTTGATTGAATTTGAATGGCATCCGATTAACAATGGTTCGGAAAACCAGAATAACACGCATTTCAATTTCAAACGGGCTGATTTTCAGCGCATGAACGAATATTTTGCTGCCGTCAACTTCGATGACTTATTCGCAAACAAATCACTTGCGGAGAAGGTGTCATCCCTTCATGACGTGCTAGCGGAAGCTATTCAGTGTACGGTTCCAACGTATGTCCGCAAGAACAACCAAAAATGCCCATGAAAAAACAAAGAACTTCGGCATCTCAAGAATTTAAGGAAAAAAGCCTGGGATCACTGGAAGCTGACCAATGACAAGCAGCCATTTGAAGAATTGCACGAGGAATTCAGTGCAAAAAATACCGAGCTTTACAATCAGTATGTCGACAAAGTGAAATCAAACTTGAAAAGTGATCCATCTTCGTTTTGGCAATATGTTAACTCTAAAAAGAGCACTGATAACATACCGAAAACCATGCGATTCGGCGACTCCAAGACAACCAGCGAATCGGAGCAAGCAAATTTATTTGCGGACTTCTTTGGGAGCAATTACTCCACATCTACGACACCAAATAATTTACCGTCACCTCAGTCTGAGAACACCTCTTGTTTCCAGCTTGACCTTGATTTTGTCATGACTGAAATGACGAAGGTCAATACCAAGAAAGGTGTTGGACCTGACGGTATTCATCCTTTGATTTTGAAGGAGTGTGCTCCAACGCTTGCTAGTCCGTTAACTAAGATCTTTAATGAGTCGCTTTCATCTGGCATTTTTCCCGACGAATGGAAACGATCGAGTGTATCACCCATATTCAAAAAGGGCGCCAGATCGGACATTGAAAACTACAGGTGCATAGCAAAACTACCAACGATCGCTAAATTCTTCGAGCACCTCGTCAACGTAAATTTGCTTGAAATTGTTCGTGATCGCATCTCGCCCAACCAACATGGATTTATGAAAGGACGATCTACAGCATCAAACCTAACCGAGTTCGTGTACTACGCCCAGAGTGGCTTAAACACTGGAGCTCAAGTTGATGTCCTGTACACGGACTTTACGAAAGCCTTTGATAGAGTCGATCACAGCATTTTGATCCAGAAGTTGAAAACCTTCAATCTACCTTAAAACTTGCTGGAAGACTTAAGTCGTACCTCGAAAATCGCATTCAATTTGTCAAACATGGAGCAAGTGAGTCGGATGATTTTACAGCGTCGTCGGGAGTTCCTCAGGGGAGCCACCTTGGCCCAACACTATTCCTGCTATTTATCAACGACATCGTGGATCAAATGCCCCCAGACATCATGATATTACTGTTTGCTGATGATATCAAAATAGCCAAAATCATCAAGTCTCAGCAAGATTCGGAGATGCTACAACAAGCCATCGACAAACTTAAACATTGGTGTGACGTGAATCTGCTGCACCTTAACCTCAAAAAATGTGCAGTGCTATCTATCTACAAGAAACGTCAGCATTTGGATACAAGCTACACTTATGGCGACCATACCTTCGACAAAGTGACTGAACACAACAGGACTTGGGTGTCCTAATTGACAGAAAACTATCATTTGCCAAACATATTGACATGGTCACTTCAAAGGCAACGGCTGCACTTGGCTTTGTCAAACGCTTCTGTCACGATATCACCGACGTTACCACACTAAAATCGCTGTATTTTGCATTGGTTCAGTCTCACCTCGATTACTGCGCCATGGTATGGCTTCCACTCCACAAAATCCACAGTGACAAAATTGAATCCGTGCAACGCCAATTCACTATGTACGCTCGTCGAGAATACCCATCCGTGCATAACCAATACTCAATCACACCGTACGAGCAGCGATTGTCAGACTTGAACATGATTAGTCTTCGCCGTCGACGTGTCAACGCGGCATTGACTTTCTTTTACGACATCATCAACGGTAATGCTAACTGTCCAAAAGTTCGATTTTTCAAGGAATTTTGAACTAACATACCCATTTAATACCAAAAAGGAGGGTTGGCGGGTGCTAGGTTGTTCCTGGCCCCTATTATTTTGATGAAATAAATCGGGTGGGCATGATAAAACCCACCTGGGTAGCCTATTTTGGGTACCTCCCGTACAAAAGTTCGATTTTTTGAAGGTTTTTCATAGGCTAGGTATCCTAGGGTACATCTGGGGTGGCTGGAAATTTAATGGTTTCCAAGTCTAACGAAGCACAAACGTTTGGTACTTGCAGAATTTCGTTTCCTATTCTCGTATTTGAGCAATCGTGCTAACAAATTTTCGCGTACAGCGTACAGCGCACAGCGTACAGGGTACGACACACCCACATTAACATAGCAAAATAACCACTGTATCGTGCTTTTTGGTGTCGAAAATGGATAGAAAAATGGTTTTTCGGGGTACCTAGGTTTTGGAGTAATTACAATACTTTTACTCACGACATGGGCGTGCGAAAAAGTAATAGCGTCGACATAGCGATAACAACAGCGCTTCCACTGTGAAAAGAATATAGCGAAAGAATTGTTGTTTATCGGAATAATTTGTTATCCTAGACTTTCATCACAGCAACAGCGAAAAATTTGTGGAAAAAAATTCTTAAGTCGACGCGTAGGTATGATGTGAAAAAAAGAATTTTTTCAAACTCTTGGTCAATCAACATGTTGTAACATCAAAAAGTGAAGAAATACATATTTGCAGCTAGTTGTCGTTCTACGACAGACATTTTATTATGAAATATACAATCGCCTTGTCACGGAACACACAGCACATGAAAAGAAATTTTGTCCTCTAAATGATTTG